ACTTTATACATACAGCACCCTAAATTCCTTCTCCCTTCCTTTCCACACTGACTCCCTGCCATACCTGTTTGACAATCACTAACCTTGCATAACCCAACTGGTGTCTCTGTTTCTCCTCCCTTCTGAAAATTGTTGGAGAAAAATCACTTGATACAATAAACAAGTACCAGGTGTTTAGGATGTGCAGTTCTCGATCTAAAACCTGGCTCTGCTATTTATTAGCTGGGAAAGTTTGGGCAGGCAACGTAATCTCTCTGAACATCTGTTTCCTTATCCATAGAAAGGGGTATATCCATTAGGACACTTGCAGCTGTAACAGAAATTCCAATTAAAAGTAGCTTACTGTCTCCTTTAATAAGATGGTTAAAAATCAGTTCCAGGGTTAATTCAGTGACTCAACGATGTCATCAAGAACAAAGATTCTTTCCTCTTTCTGCTCCACTATCCTTAGCACATTGACTTGGGCCTTACGTGTATTTCTTCATGTTACAACATCAGTGACTGCAATTCCAGGCATCACATACAGACACCAAGTCTTGCTGAAGAAGAGTGCACTTCCTCCCATGTGCCTTGCTGTATTAGCGAAGAAAATCTTTCTAGAATCTTTCTAGAATTCTCCTTAGTTTCCTTTGTCTTGGTCATATATCCACCCTTTAGCCAATCATTGGCAAAGGGAAATGGGATTACCATGATTGCCTTTTTGACCAATCATAATTCACATTCTGGGGCTAGAGAGGAGGCAAGCTTTCCTAAGCACATTGCCACTGGATAGCTAAACAAAAAAAGAAAAGCATGATAATAAGAATATGTGTTGCATAGGCCAACAACCTCTGTCATTTGGGCAATAATACCTACTCCACAGGGTGTTTATAAAGATTATATTGGATACATTTGCTAAGTACCTAGTGGTGCCTGGCACATGAGGGACATGATGATTTTTAAAGACATCCACAAATTCTTTAATATTCTTTCCCTCAAAAAGTAGAACTAATCCCCCTACCCTTGAATGTAGACTGCACTTAGCGACTGGGTTCTAACAAATAGAATTTGGCAAAAATAGTGGTGTGAGATTTCCAACACTAGGTCATAAAAGGTATTGCAGTTTGTTTTGCTCTCCTGGGTTGCCCACTCTGGAGAAAGCTGCCATGTTGTAAGGACACTCAAGCAGCCTATGGAGAAACCCACACAGGGAGAAACTGAAGATAACCAACAACCAGAACCAATTTACAAGCCATGTGAATGAGCCATCACCATGGAAGTGAGTTTCTCAGGCCCAGTCAAGCCTTCAACAGACAGATGCCCTGAGGCACATCTCGGCTGCAACTTCATGAGACTTCAGCCCAGAATGACACCAGCTAGGCCACTCCAAGAATCCTGGGAAACTGAGAATAATCATTTCTGTTGTTTTAAGCCACAAAATTTTGAAATGATTTTTTTACATATCAATAGGTGCTTAATACAGATTTTGGTACCAAAGAGGGGTTCTGCTATAACAAAGAAGTTTTAATGCAAGAGTAGCTTTGTAACTTGGCAGTGGACAGAAGCTGGAAGAACTTTGAGGAGATAATTAGTGAAGGCTTAAAGGGCCTTGAAGAGACTGCAAGTGAGGGCAGTAAGGTTCATTAGTTTACTGTGACAGACCAGGTAAAAGGTATCTTGGTTTTCTCCTTGATAAATTTTAAGTCTGACCATTGCTGAAAGCTAATAAGCATCACTAAATGCACAGGCTTTGGAGCCTGACTGCCTTGATTTGAATCCTGGTTCCGTCATGTCATTATAATGCCTCAATGTCCCTTGATGGATTTTGATGAGGATCACCTAAGTTGCTGCATGTAAACTAAAAAATGTGCAGGTTTCTTTCTGTGTCCCTGGCAGAGTTGATTACAGTTGAGGACCTGCAAAACAGGATTGGGATAGAAACCAAGGAACATTAGAGTAGCCAAAAAAGAATAAAATTTTTGTGATGGGTTATCCTGCCAGAGTAGCATTTCTTTTTTTTTTTTTTTAATTTTATTTTTACCATTTATTTATTTTTGAGACAGAGAGAGACAGAGCATGAACAGGGGAGGTTCAGAGAAAGAGGGAGACACAGAATCTGAAACAGGCTCCAGGTTCTGAGCTGTCAGCACAGAGCCCGACGCGGGGCTTGAACCCACGGACCACGAGATCGTGACCTGAGCCGAAGTTGGACGCTCAACCTACTGAGCCACCCAGGCGCCCCCAGAGTAGCATTTCTTAAGGTGTGGCCCACCTGCATTAGAACCATTGGAGTATTTATTGAAAATATGGGGCCCTACCTTCTGAGATTGATTTAGGAAGTTTAAAGCAAGGCAGAAATCTGTATTTTCACTGAGCCCTTTGTGGATGATTCTTATGTACACTAAAGTTTGAAAGCCATTACCCTGAGGAAAGGAAGTCCAAGTAAAAAGCATAAAGGTTCATCTCCTTGACCCTACTGTTTTATCTTAAAAAATGAAGGCAAAATATCCCATTCTTATCCACAGTTTATCCATTTTGTTTTAATAATATACAAATAAGGTACATTAAATAATAATGTGCATAATTTGTCATTGAATACAATCAATGCTCCTGAAAATAGGCTATGTTTATCCTGAACCTGTGGTAACCCCTGACATACACTTACCCCAGTTGACATACAAGGGTTTCGTGATAACTGTATCAACCCATTTTATTTCTAGTGCCTGATTTGACAAGTACCATCAGCGTTGTAAATATGGACGTTTGATAATTGATCCTCTGGCTCCAATTTCTTCTAATGAGGCTTTTTGTGCTGTAGAGACTGGGAAGTCTAGAACTACATTTCCTAGACCCCTTTGGCAGGTAAAATCTGGATACAAAATAATTTGCAATTAGATATACTCATGAAATGTGGGAGGCAGAAGTAAGTAAGAAGGCATCTATCCACTGCTACGTCTCATTCTGATAAAAAGTCAAGTTACGGTGAGGTCAGGGTTTTCAGCAAGTTTTCTGGTGTGTAGCCACCAGCTCTGAGTATGCTGAGAGTGGTGGTACTGGTGCCATGGTGGCCTTTCAATTACAGCAGACGTGGCAGGCAGTTAATTGCACAGTGTTCTGGAAGTCATTCCCTAAGCCAAGTCTAGAATTCATTTCTCTAGCTCTTCTACCAACTTTTTAAAAACTTTTTATTGGGGCACCTGGGTGGCTCAGTTGGTTAAGCGTCGAACTTTGGCTCAGGTCATGAACTCACAGTTCGTGAGTTCAAGCCCTGCATCAGGCTCTCCTGCTTCAGATCCTCTGTCCCCCTCTCTCTCTGCCCCTCCCCCACTCACAGACCCACACAGTCTCTCAAAAATAAACATTAAAAGATAACTAAAATACTTTTTATTATTGAGTTTTGAATATATGTTAAAAGTAGAACTGTAAACTAATAAACTCCAACTTCAACATTAACCAACTTAGGCCAATCTCCTAAGTACCTTCCACCCACTTCATCTTATTTTCAAGTAAGTCCTAGGTATCATATCATTTTATGTATTTCAACATAAAAAATATAATCACTGAGATAATAGAAAACATATTGGTCTCTGCCCCCAGTTCCTGGCACAGAGCTCCTGAAACCCTTTTAATAATTTAAGTGATAAAAACACTAGGAGCATCTCTTGCTCTAATACTTGTCTCTGACTCCATTCCTGACATAGGGCTCCTAAAACCCCTATTTCTGAGTGATAAGAGCACTAGGAACATTTATTCTACTGAGGTGACTCTGGGGTAGGATCCTGGATGGGGGTCGGTCACCAGAAAGACCAAACCATGATCAGAAGTTTGGAATTTTCAGTCCCAGCCCTCATCCTTAGAGACAGGAGAGGGGGTGGAAATGGGAGTTAATAACTGATCATGCTTACATGAGAAAGTCTCCACAAAATTCCAATATTGGAGAGCTTTCAGGTAGATGAATACAAACAAGGAGGGTGATGCACCCCAACTCCATGGGGACAGAAGCTCCTACACTCAGGACCCTTCCAGAACTCGCCTTATGTATCTCTTCATCTGGCTGTTCATCTGTCTCCTTTATCATATCCTTTAATAAACTAGTAAACATAAGGAACTGTTACCCTGAATTCTGTAAGCCACTTTAGCAAATTTATAAAACTGTGAGGAGGTTATGGGGACCCCCGATTAATAGCCAAGTCGGACAGAAGTTGAGGGTAACCTAGGGACCTACTACCTGTGACTAGCACCTGAAGTGGGGGAGACAGTCTTGTGGGACTGAACCCTTAATTTGTAGAATCTGATGTTATCTCTGGGTAGATAGTGTAAGAATTAATTGAACTGTAGACACCCAACTTGTGTCACAGAGAATTGCTTGGTATGGGGAAAAAACTCCAATGTTTGGTGACCAGAAAGGTGTTTTGTGTGAATTATAAAGAGACACAGAAAAGAAACACACAGGAGGAAGCATTGGGTTTTTCTCTATACAAGAGAGAAAAAGGTAGGAGGGGGAGAAACTGGGTTTTCCTAATATGACCACAATATCATTATCCAATAAATAAGTAAATAAATAAATCTTTTAATATAATTAAGTGTCCAGTGTTCACATTGCCGATCGTCGTGTTACTGTCATAAAAAAAAAAAACTTAGTTTTTGGCTGAACAAATAAAGTCCACAAATTGGTTGATATGCCTCTTCCGTCTTAATAGTATAGGTTCCCTTTCCATCTGTGTTTTTGTTTTCCTTGGCAATTTACTTGAAGAAACTGTGTTGTAAGAGCATCCCACAGTCTGTATTTGGTGGTTACATCCCATGGTGTTGGCATATTCCTCTGTTCTCTGTAATTCATATAAGTTGGTTGTTAGGTCTACAGGCTTGATCAGATGTAGGTTCAACTGGTTTTGATTCCACTGATTTTTGAGTACCCAATTCTATATCCTAGATCCTTTTCTGGGATATAGAAGCTACCAAAAAAAACCCCAAAGCATTATATTGTGCATTCAGGCAGATAGACAACTACAAGGCATACCTCATTTCATGGCATTTTGTTTTATTGCACTTCACAGATTGTATTTTTTACAAAATGAAGGTTTGTGCCAACTCTGCATCAGGCAAGTCTATTGGTGCCATTTTTCCAACAGCATTTGTTCATTTCGTATCTGTCGCATTTTGGCAATTCTTCTAATATTTCAAGTTTTTGCGTTATTATTATTATATTTGTTATGGTGGTCTGTGATCAGTGATCTTTGATGTTACTATTGTAATTGTTTGGTTGAGGGGGGCACAGACTGTGCTTGGTAAATGTTATATGTGTTCTGACTGTCCCCACTGGCTGCTCCCCTCTCTCTTTCCCTCTCCTTGGGCCTCTCTATTCTGAGACATAATAATATCAAAATTAGGCCAATTAATAACCCTACAATGGCCTATAAGTGTTTAAGTGAAAGGAAGAGTCACATATGTCACCTTAAATTAAAAACTAAAAATGATTAGATTTAGCGAGGAAGACCTGTCGAAAGCCAAGAAAGGCCGAAAGCTAGACCTCTTGTGACAGCCACATTGTGAATGCAAAGGAAAAGTTGTTGAAGGAAATTAAAAGTGCTACTTCAGTGAACATATGAATAAGATAGTGAAACAGCCTTATTGCTGACACAGAGAAAGTTTCAGTGGTCCAGATAGATCAAACCAACCACATAACTCCCTTAAGCCAAAGCCCAATCCAGAACAAGATCCCAAATCTCTTCACCACTGTTAAAGCTGAGAGAGGTGAGGAAGCTGCAGAATAAAAGTATGGAGGTGGCAGAGACTGGTTCGTGAGGTTTAGGGAAAGAAGCCACCACCGTAACATCAAAGTGCAAGGTGAAGCAGCACGGGCTGATGTTGGAGAAGTTGTAGCAAATTATCCAGAAGATCCAGTTGAGATCAATAACAAAGGTGGCTACACTAAACAGATTTTTGATATAGATGAAACAGCCTTCTAACTGCTAATGTAGCTGGTGTCTTTAAGAGGAGGCTCATTTACCATTCCAAAAACCCTAGAGCCCTTAACAATTATGCTAAATCTATTCTCCCTATGCTCTATACAAGGAACAAAGCCAGAATGACAGCACAGCTCTTATAACATGGTTTACTGACCTACTGCTCCGAAAATAAAAGATTCCTTTCAAAATATGACTACTCATCAACAATACCTTGTCACCCAAGAGTTCTGATGGAGATATACAAGATTATTGTTGTTTTCATGTCTGCTCACACAACATCCATTCTGCAACCTATGGATCAAGGAGTCATTTTGACTTTCAAGTCTTATTATTTAAAAAATGTATTTCATAAGGCTATAGCTGCCATAGATAGTAATTGCTCTGACGGATATGAAAGCCTTCTGGAAAGGAGTCACCATTCTCAATGCCATTAAGAACATTCCTGATTCATGAGCAGAGGTCAAAATATCAATATTAACAGGAGTTGGGAGGTAATTCCAACCCTCATGGATGATGTGGAGGAACTCAAGACTTCAGTGGAAGAAGTAACCGCAGGTGTGGATGAAATACAAGAGAACTAGAATTAGAAGTGGAACCTGAAGATGTGACTGAATTGCTGCAATCTCACAAAACTTTCACAGATGATAAATTGCTTCTTACAGACGAGCACAGAAAGTGGTTTATTTAGATGGAAACTACTGCTGGTGAAGAAGCTGTGAAGACTGTTGAAATGACAACAAACGATTTACACTATCAAAAAAAAAAAATTCATTGATAAAGCAGTGGCAGAGTTTGAGAGGATGGACTCCAATTCTGAAAAATCAGCTGTGGGTAAAATGCTATCCAACAGGATCACATGCTACAAAGAAATCATCACAAAATAAGAGTCAATCGATGTAGCAAACTTTGTTTTTGTCTCTTTTTAAATTTTGCTACAACCACCCCAACCTTCAGCAACCACCACCCTGATCAGCCATGTTGGTTAGTGGTATCATTTGAATACTTAAGTTAAAATGCATACAACTGTGATTTCCTTTTTATTATTCCTAGCACAGAGTAATCATCAACAAAGATATGTTGACAGAAAGCATCAAGAACTAATTTTCACATTATTTACATTCAGTGATGAAAAATGTGGCAGAAACTGCTATTAATTCCCCTAATATACATGCTCTTTCCTCCAAGAGAATGTCCATGTTGTAGTTGAACATATAGTACACTGAAATAAAGATAATTTTCCAGCATCTCTTGCAGCTAGATGTGACCACATGACTAAGTTCCAGCCAATAAGATATAAGTGGAAGTGTTGAATGGCAACTTCCAAATATGTATTATAAAAAAAAAAAAATTGCTGGCACTTGCCCATTGCTCCTTTCTTCTTTGTCCTGCCTCCCAACAGAATGCAGGTTTGATTATTAGAGCTCTAGCTACCCACCCTGGTTTAGGAAATGAAGGCCACAGCTTGGGTATGATAAGGGTGGTAAGCTAAAAATTAAAGGATCCTAGATCTCCAAAAAATTCATGGAAATGAGCAAACCCATCAGACCTTGAGTCTGTATTACATTAAGAGAGAAATAAACTTTTATTTTTGTCACTGGAAAACCCATGATACCAGCTTCCTTTAGATATAGGAGGAAGGCAGATTTGTAAGTGGCAGTTTTTCATAGACTTATACGGTAGAGCCACATCTCTCTTACTTGGCGGTAATGGAATATTATTTTTAAGTAATTATTCTTACTTGTATGAAAAAAGTAGTTGTTCTATAGTAGGAGTTAGAGAATCTAGGTTGCAGTCTTACCTCTGCCACTAACTAGCAAATGAGTTGGCTTCTCTAAGCCTCTGTAAGACAACTATGCAGTAAGATTCTCTTGAGTCTTAAAATATAACATACACGGAAGTGCTTCATAGCATAAATAACTATGCACAGAGAGTTGATGAGAATTATAAGACACCTGTAGAGAGAAGCTCTGTCTCAGATTGTATCCCCAGTGACAAGTGCTTAACTAATATTTGTTAAATAAAAAATTTTAAGTCGATGCTAACTGAGTGAATTATTCTGCTGTGGGCTGAATAAAGTTCAAAGGTCTTTAATATTAATTAAAGTATTACTTGAGTTCTTTAGAGCCACTATTCTTAATTTTACCATCAAAAAGATAATTTATCTGGTTCAAAAGTGGACCCCTATTTGCTATAGCAAAGAATAAAAGCTGTGGTACAGAAATAAAAATTTTATGACCCTTTTCTTTCCCTTGAAATTACAAAGTTACACATAAAGATATATTTTAATATTTAAACCACTAACCCTACCACATCAAATGAAGGATTTCCTCACAGTGGACTGTGGCTAAAGTATTTTATTAAATTAAGTATGTAATCTGCAAATGGTTTCATAAGAAATTTTAAAAGCAAAGTTATAAAACATTTTCAATAAAAAAGTACAGAGTTAACAGCAAAATTACATTTTCTTTATAGTACAAATAAAAACATCTCATTTCTGATATACTGTCTGAAAATTTTATAATATATTCTCCAACTGATAGCTGCAATATTATATTTTAATGAGAAGTTTCATGGTTAAATCAATCATTTGTTAATAACAGGTTCACCATTTGGACCATAAAAAGCAACTGCTCAACATTAAGGAAAATAATAAAATTTGTCATTCTATAATGTTAAGTTATAAAAGGCTCTTCGGGACATACATGTCTTCTGGCCTTGTTTCTCTACTAAATTCTATAAAGAGGCTTGAATAATACTGTAAACTTGAATTACATTTTAAAAATAAGCACCATTAACATACATTCTACATACATTCACTTAACCTTTTAAATGACACTTCTTTTGGCCACACAAACATTTAAATTTGTTTTCTTTACCATGTAAATAAAAATAAGCAATATTTAACCACTACACAGAAAATTATCAAACTTCACCTCATTACACAATGGAAAAGCACTTAGGAAAGCACTTGGAAAAAACAGCACACATTATTTTTGTGTCTTTTTTATACATTTTGTCATTTTCTTAAATTGAGAGCAGTTAAAACATTGTCAGAGCAATTTCCTGAGTCTCAAAGTTTCCGATTTCCAGCTCAGAAATAACCAATCTCGCTATTACATATGTCCGCTTTCTAAGCACACAAAACACTTGAATTTAAAAAGAAAAAGACTGAAATAAGGACTGGAAACAACCCAACAGAATTATTTAACCTTTCTTCTCAAAATGTATTGAATAAACAAGACACTTTAAAGTATAAGTCAGAATTTCTACTACGTAATATGCCGCATAAAGGCCACAGAATTGCAAATAGTATGGAAACACTAATAAATTGAAAAAAACCTCAACTTGAAAATAATATGAGTTATATGAACAGCCAATAAACCTAAGACAACATGCTTCCATAACTCATGTTGAAGTAAGGAATTGGATGAATTGAAAATACTGTTGAAGAGTTTCCTAAGTCTAACCCCTCGTTCCCTGTGGTTTCCACATTAGTTCTCTTTTTTCTCCTGGTAGACACAGATGAGAGACTAGTGAAAAGACAGAACAGTTACTAAAACCTTCCAAACTACAGAAGTGTTGTACTTTTAAAATATTAATACATTTGCAAAGAGCCATTCTAATTAGACCTGTATTAGCACTAATATACCAATACCTGAAGATGTTGATAATCCACACACTCTCCTTACTTTTGACACACAGGGCTTGGAAAAGAGCAAGAGAAAAATTTGATAATCCCCAAACTATGTTTACCTTTGGCATATAGGATTTAGAAATGGGCAAAACAAGAAAGGAGAAACTATAAAATTTTTCTTTCATAATTATGTGTTGTTTAAACTATGCTAGACAGTGAGGTGGGAGGCAGTTTAGGATTAAAACAACTTCATAAAAGCACATATCATGCTCAAAATTTGCCTATATACTTATGAATGATATGATGAAGAAAAAATACCTTAGATTTACCAAAATAAAGCCTAACATTAAGGTTGATACAGCAGAAAACATAGCTTCTTTCATTTGGTTTCTGCCCACAAAACACTTCATCCCTTGTTCTTTTTGACTGCTCCCACACTAATCATAATTACAATAATACTGAAATAAATCTAGCTGAAGTGCTCAAAAGCAATGCTTTTTTAAACTGGGTGAGGAAATATAAAATCATGGAAAATGAGTATGCAGCTGCACACCCTCAAGTAACCCCAGGTTTTAGTACTATTATTCACATTTCTTAAATCATATTAATTTACACATAAAAACATTTTACTTCATTAACAGTTGTAGTTTTATAGTAAGTTCTTGAAACGAATTGCTTTATTTTTAATGTATACAACTCCTCTAGACACTACAAAAAACATATGCTAAACTGGTGGCATTTTTTCTTTTTTAAACAAATTATTACAACCATGAGAAAATATTTCAATACCACTCACTAATCATTTCTAAATAATAAACATTTTATTTTCGTGGAAATAAATGTAATGATACAGGTCTTCTTTTAAAAGCATGCTTTCATGATATGCAAAAATGTGTTTTTGAGTTTTATTTTCATTAAAATGTCTGTTCTTTTGAGAAACCATTCTGTAGTTCAGGATTCTTTCAGTAATAGCTCAACCCTATAATTCCTGATCCAAATGATGTTTAAGCTTATCAAAATCCAACACAACTGTTTGTTAAATTACATATGTTGGAAATATTCTCCATATCCAAAGACAAATTTATTTAAGCCATTGTTTTATACTGAAAAACTACACTTTACCACATTAAACGTGTAAAAATGAAATTTACATTTTATAGTTGACATACTAACAGGACTTTTTAGCTCACACAAAACAAAGTCAATGAAAGTTTCCTTTCAGAAAGTTGGCTCTTTTTTAAAAAACAAAGGTAAAAAACTTTTAAATTGTAAGGATTCCTTTAAAGATTATATCAAAAATGTCTTCTACATTTAAGTTAATAGGCTCTTGACCCACTACTGTTTAGAAATTACATGACTCAAATATAAAATATAGCTCTTTAGTACTGTCTTAAATACCACTTACACAGACAGCTCTAGAAGTAGTTCTATTAAGACACTGATACTTGTAGATATCTAACCATTTCATCTTCTCTAAAAACTTTACTGCCTACAGAAGGTATAAAACTGCAATATAATCTCAGGCTCCAACTTTCCTCCTAGGAAATGCACACATACAGAACAAACGAACAAAAGGTAAGAGATCAAGATCATATACAAAACAGAAGAAAGTACAAACAGCATGTCTTTCTTCCTGCAGGATATGGCAAAATGAAATGATTTTTTGTATTTAGCTTTGATATCAAAAAGCATTCAAGTGCTTTTGTTACATTTCCTTTCTTTCATTACTACTACCACTACTTCTCCTTCTTTTAATACAAGCCTTTGATGGGCATGAACCAGGTCTCAAAGCACTTTAAATGCCTCTCAAAGATGCCTTTTGGATTTTACTAAATGTTAACAACAATTAACACAAAGGTAACATTTTCTCTCTGAAAAAGAATCAGAGCACTTCAAACTTTAAAACCACAGCTGATAATTTTCTTGGACACTTTATAATCAATAAAAATTCTCTTCAGTATTTTTAACAGACAACGTATTTGGCATTTGATTCAGTAAAAAATTAAACTTCTCTTGAATTCTGAAAAACATCATTATAATGTTTTTGTTATAATTGGACATTTCTAATAAAATACATGTGTACAGTAAAATTGACTAAATTACTGTAAATAAAACTAACCTACAAACCTTCACACTTCTAAGTCAAGGACGTTTATTTTACTTTAGCATGACTTTCAAGCACCCTGGTTTAATTTCAGAGAACCTACAGAAATGAGAAAACAGTTATTTTAGGTAAAAATTTCAAACTGGTTAAGGAATATATCATGTAATCAATTCCAAATATCTACGCTAAATGAAATAGTTACTATCAAAGTACTCTCCTTTATTATTTAAGTCAGTATCCAGGACTGATATCTATGCTTATGTACTTTTAATCCGTTGTAAAAATAAACAATCCTAAAGCTAGAGGGATAACTCCTAACTTAGTAGTTATTTAAGATTTTTCAAAAATCTCAAGCCTGAACTCAACTTTCATGAAAAACAGCATGGTATGTGAAGGATAAGATGATGTCTGTGTTACATTATTTCTATGCATTAAGTCAGTACTAAAAAGAAATCTCTAACATAAGTCTGATTCATCAGGCCATGAAATGCTTCCAAGTCCCTCAGTGTGAAATTTAAAAAACACTAGTCTCTACAATAGATCATTAATCCCAACATGATAATGCTCCAGTCCAACTACTCCTTTTGTAACAGTAACTCTAAAATGTCGTCTGTTTTTGTGATCAGAATTAATGCTACTATTTTCTATAATGTAGCCAAACAACATTTTATTACATGGCATAAACAAAATATGCCACACTAACTAAAACTAGAACTAGGGGAAGGTAGGTACCTAATGGTATACATCCTCAGTGAATCTATCCATCAACAGATCTTTCTTCTTAGACTTCTCTTGTCATTTTCTGTTACTGAATAATAATCAATAAAAAGTTCATTTCATGTTTGTCACAGCTAAGATTATTAATGGCATTTAATTTATGAAGATGTATAAATTCATACTGACTGGAGTATTTCTGCTAAAGTTTAAACAAATCCATTATAACCACATTTCAGCAGAAATTCCTTCCAAAATCCACAAATATGTATATCCTTTCAAATAAATAATTAGCAACCTTAGACGATGATACACATAATCTAATTATCTTGAATAATACATTATCAAAGAAACACAATCATATTACTTTCTGTTAGATTTTAAATTTATGAAACAGTTTTATCAGATGATTACTTCAAAAACAAAATGTATTTTTCCTTCATTTCTGGTTTTCTGAATATCATTAAGACCAGCAGGAAAAGTTATAATTTAAGCATGAATTTGTGGCTAATATCAGATGGTTAAATTTAGTTAACTATTCTAATAACTCATTTGAGCATACTATTAGTGTTTATTATCTGTATATGGACATTGCCATTATCAATAACAGAAATCTCTACTCACCTGAAGCTATGGCTTGTGAGGTATTTAATGACGGCTGGTTTGATGCGAGCAACTCCTCCTTGGCTGTGGTTTCCTCTCCCCGTAATCACAGAGAGATAGGACTTACCACCATTCTGCTTAAATTCTGTTACAACAGGAATTGGACCAGTTAAAATTCATTTGTCTTACATTCTCAATAGAAAACAAGCTTTAACTACTCAAATACATATAAAATTACTTTCATGGGGATTTACAGATTTATAACTTCAAAAAGCACCAAAATTGATGTTTTTAAATGGATATTTCATCTACATTGTTTAAGTATGGAAGACTCAAAGCAATTCATCTGCCTAAACATAAGTGAAATTTCTTCCCCTGTGGGGAGGGAGATTTCTATGTGCTACCAGAATTTCTCTCTAAAATAATGATAATGACAATAGTAATATTAATGACATCTAACAATTATTACATAGTTGGAGTCAGGAATTGCTTTAAGCTACTTATATTTATTAACTAAGAATCTTCACAATGACCCTTTTAATTAAATACTCTGAAGCCAGCCAGCCAGCTTTGGTCTGATTAAGAGCTCTGCCACCAAATGACTGGGGCAGTATGACAATGGACAAGTTACTTGCCTATGTGTGTCTGTTTCCTTATCAGTAAAATGGGATCTAAAGCAACTACTTTATAGGATATCACCCTTCAGGAATCGCTGTTAGCAAATCCACTAATTACAGCATGGACTATAGTCTTACTGTTAAAGATAGACAATTGTTAAGAAACTCTTCCACGGGGCGCCTGGGTGGCGCAGTCGGTTAAGTGTCCGACTTCAGCCAGGTCACGATCTCGCGGTCCGTGAGTTCGAGCCCTGCGTCGGGCTCTGGGCTGATGGCTCAGAGCCTGGAGCCTGTTTCCGATTCTGTGTCTCCCTCTCTCTCTGCCCCTCCCCCGTTCATGCTCTGTCTCTCTCTGTCCCAAAAATAAATAAACGTTGAAAAAAAAAAAAATTTAAAAAAAAAAAAAAAAAAAAGAAACTCTTCCAAAGGCACCTGCCTGGCTCAGTCGGAAGAGCATGCAACTCTCAATCTCAGGGTCATGAGTTTGAGCCCCACATTGGGTGTAGAGATTACTAAAAAATAAATAAATAAAACTTTAAAAAAAAAAAAAAGAAGAAGAAAAGAAGAAACTCTTCCAAAGAGATGATTTTTAAATATCAAATGAATCTAGGACTCTTACAAGAATGTAGCTCTTGCTTTGGATAGGATTTTGTGAAAATTAAGTACATAAAGCCTGAAAGTCAATAACTCCTGCAATAAAGTAACAAAAACTCTGTTAATAATGAGTTGATTTAATGAACTAAATATCTTCTTCCTTTGTGATAAATAGCACAAGTTTTGATCATTAGCATAAAAGATACATATATATATATATATATATATATATATATAATATAAATATTCTATATTCTGCTCACTAAGTTGCCCTAAGACTCCAGCAGATCCACAAACAGTTTTTCAAGTCTCACATCTCCAAGGCAATATTTAGCCTGGAATTTTAAGAGGGTATGTTGCTTATATTTCTAATTCCTTCTTTGCTTAAGATCTCTATTTCTACACTAGTCCATTACCCATTATTTCAAGCAATATTTTGTTCAAAATTCAACTCTTCCTGGGTGCTGGCTACACAGGGTATTCACTTTGTAAAAAAGTTTTTATGCTATATAATTATTACCTGTACATTGTTCTTTATAGATGTGACATTACAAAGTTTACTTAAAAGAAACCTTAGATATCTTAACTATCCATAAGTCACTCTCATCATTCCTTCACCGCTGCTCCCCTTATCAGGGCAGTCATGTATAACACCTCGTTTTTATTTATATATTTTTAATGTTTATTTATTTTGAGAGTAAGTGTGAGTGACAGAGGGGCAGAGAGACAGGGAGAGAGAGAATCCCAAGCAGGCCCCATACAGTCAACACAGAGCCAGATGCAGGGCTCACTCCCTTGAACCATGAGATCATTTACCTGAGCCAAAATCAAGAGTCAGACACTCAACCAACTGAGCCACCCAAGCACCCCATAACACTTCATTTTTAAATTCTCTGCTCTGAAAATGTTCAACAGTTGAATCACATGCTTCAAATAAAGTAGGTGTTCAAAGGATGTTTGTTGCATGAATTCAGGTATATGTTTAGGTCCCCAAATTTCAGGCTATTCCTGTCACTTATCACCTTTAAAAAAAACTACTTAACTCATTTTTAAGCCTATCTCAAATTTCTTACCATTTCTACTGTAAATATTTCATTATATATTTCAAAAAGGACTCTTACAAAATAAAAAGAACCACGATACTACCATCACATCTTAAAAACAGTTCCTTAATATCATGTTTCTAAAAATGGCTGAAAGTCTCCCTCAAAAAAATGGTTTTACAGTGGCTTACTTAAATCAGGGCAACAAGACCACACATTGCATTTGGTTGATATATCTCTGAAGTAACTTTTAATCTAAATGTTCCCCCTCCCCCTGGGCTTTTCTCTACAACTGGTTGAAAAACTTGGATCATTTATCCTAGATTTTTACAGTCTAAATATTGTTGATTGTATCCCCATGGTGCCATTTAACCTGTTCCTCTGTTCCCTGTAAATCCCTATAAAGTAGTAAAAACATCATTGGTGGTAGTGATGTATATTCTAATCAGAAGGCATTTAAGGGTCAGGTATCTTTTTTGTTGTTGTTCATCCCCAAGTTTGACAATCATCTTTTATAACTAAAAGCAGTGGAGGGCAGAATCACAGATTTTCCCCTGGATACATTTCTGTTCAACAATACTACCATCTAGTGGTGACTAACAGTACCTACAGACTACCACAGGTGTCAACATGCACAACAGTGGGCCTGGCTTCAGAAAGGATTTGTATATTGGGTCTGACCAAGCATCACCTTATACAAGTTATTTAGCTCTTTTTTTTCTTGTAATTTTTTTAATTGAGATATAATTCATAAAACATAAAATTCATGATTTTAAAATGTATAATTCAGTGGATTTTAGTATATCAAAACACTGTTCAACTATCAATACTAATTCCAGAACACTCCATTGTCTCAGAAATTCTGTACTTGTTAGCAGTTACTCCCCAGTCCCTACTTTCTAGCCACAGTAACCACTAATATACTTTGTTTCTATTGGTTTGTCTATTGTGAACATTTCATATAAATGGGAACCATATAATAAAGTGGCCCTTTTGTACCTGGCTTCTTTCACAAAGCATGTTTACAAGGTTCATCCATGTTGTAGCATGTATCACTACCTGACTCCTTTTTGTGGCTGAATAATATTCCATCGTATGGATATACCAAATTTTGTTTGTCCTTTCATCAGTTGATGGACATCTGGTTGTTTCCATTTTTCGGCTATTATGAACATTCATGTACAAGTCTGCGTGTGGATAAACTGTGTTTTCAATTTTCTTGTATACATAACTAGAACTGCTAGGTCATATGGTAACTCTGTGTTTAATCTTTTGAGGAATGCCAACCTTTTCCACTGTGGCTGTACCATTTAATACTCCCACTAGCAATATAAAGGGTTCCAATTCTCCACATCCTTACCAACACTTATTATTTTCCATTTTACTAAACTTTTCAAATTATTAATTTCCTCATATATGAAATGAAAGGAATGCTTACCCTTTATTCAATCATTTATTTAAAAGTTGCTGTTGGGTGTTGAATGAAAGGTTCTATAAACAATGATGATTCAATAATCATTGCTGACTCAATTCCTGGCCATAAAGACAGATTTTAATATTCAACTATATAATAAGCTTTTTATAAATACTGTGGTACACAGGAGTACTGCAAGAAGCTATTAATGGGAAGCCTAGATGGCAAGAAATGACAGTGTAGATAAAACAGAAAGAGGAGCAAAACATAAGATGAGAATAGGGAGGCAGGCAAGGAACAGATTACATAGGGATTTAGGCGTTTATGCTAAATGAAACATGGCAACCTATACTCTCTTATCACGGTGCTTATTATTATGTAACTATTTGCTCACTGTCATCTACCCTACTAGACACCAAACCCCATAAAAATAGGGACTGTGTATCTTTTTCACTGCTTTATTCTTGATGCCTAGAATATACAATAATCAAATTTTTATTGAGTAAATGATGTATTCACCCTCTATAGACAGAGTATTCTCTTATAATACTACGTAAGTTTTTTCCTCCAGACTAAATAATATATTTAAAATGCTCTTAAATTTTCTCTTTTCAAATCTTTATTATTGTTTTCTAGATTTTCTCAAAGATTTCCAAAATTCTATTTAAAAAACAACTAGAGGAGGAGAATTCTTTACTTTACCAAAGAATGTCTAATAGACATAGTACAAACACAGATTCTAAAACACCATTATCCAACCACCAATATAATAATTGATTCAGTCAAGCATCATCAATGGAGGCTAAAATTACTAGGTGAAATATTGCAAGAGAATAGTTATTCACATAGTTGCAAAGTATCAATTGCCAAAAAATTACTAGTTAATTATAAAGAAAGAAAAGATACATTTACATAGAGAAACCTAACAGAGTCCCACCTCAGCTAAGAAATCAAACTTAACATCATCAATAATGGGGCAATCTGACCATATTATGTCTCCTGATATGTTCACCAAGGATGACCTAACATCACCTATGCAGCATTTTTTACCAAAAAAAAAAAAAAATCTTTAACTAAATCTAATCATGGAGGAAACAATCAGAGAAATTAAAATTGTAGGTCAATCTACCAAAGGCTTGGAGTCTTCAAAAATGTCAATAACACAGAAGAAAAAAATAGGCTGAGGAACTATTTATATATATATATATATATTAAGTAATCTCTACATCCAATGTGGGGCTTGAATTCACAACCCTGAGATCAAGGGTCACACTCTACAACTGAGTCAGCCAGGCATCCCGGAACTATTTCTACATTCTGAAGGCTACAGCCATGGGACAGTCAACTGGAGAATGTGATGTCTGACTGGATCCTGAGTTGAGAGGGAAAAAATGGCACAGCTAAACAAGACATTTCCATACACTGGAGAAATGTGAATGTGGCCTGTATGCCAGACAATATTATAACAATGTTAAATATCTTAAAAGTGACAATGGTACTGCAATTATGTAGAATGGATTTGTTTCTGAGAGATAAACATGCTGAGGTATATAGAGGTAAGGTACCACAATGTTTAACATTTTATTTCCAAATGGTTCAGCAAGGGGCTCCTGGGTGGCTCAGTTGGTTAAGCGTCCGACTTCAGCTCAGGTCATGATCTCAGTCTGTGAGTTCGAGCCCTGCGTCGGGCTCTGTGCTGACAGCTCAGAGCCTGGAGCCTGCTTCAGATTCTGTGTCTCCCTCTCTCTCTGCCCCTCCCCTGTTCATGCTCTGTCTCTCTCTGTCTCAAAAATAAATAAAACATTAAAAAAATTTTTTTCAAATGGTTCAGCAAAAAGCAATTTTAAAGACATTAGGCAATATGGCCAAATGTTAACAACTGATCGATCTAGGTAAAAGATATATGAATTTTTATTATACAATTACTTCAACTCCTCTATGGGTTCTTAATTTTTCAGTATAAAAAGCCAGGAAAGAAGATAGCAGTGAGAGTACACATGTTGATATGTTGATATTGTGACATTATAACTACATGCCTGTGAGTAGAGAAATGGATACATTATGACATGACACTTGAATACTGTACAGCAGTTACAAGAAAAAAAATCAGACCATCAACATAAGTGTATCTTGAAAACTGTACTGGGTGAAAACAAATGGCTTGATTGAAAAGTATAGTGTGAAATCACGTACATTCATTTTTTTAAATGCACAAAAGAAATACTACAGACTGATTATTGATGAAAATACATATAGTAAAGTACTTATTTTTAAAAACTAGTTAGGAACCAACCTGAAAGATGTTGATTTCCACTAGAAAGAGAAGGAAGAAAGAGAAAACAATTGGGAAGAATAGGGGTGCCTGGCTGACTCAGTCGGTAGAGCATTCAACTCTTGATCTCAGGGTTGTGGGTCCAAACCCCACGTTGGGTATACAGATTACTTAAAAAAATAAAATCTTAAAAAAAAAGTCTGGGAAGAATACAAAGGGGAGAATAAAAATAAAATATGAAGTATATATGGTAAAATATTATCACTCACTTAGATTCATGGGCATGCAAGTGTTTTATTACATTACTGCAAGTATTTCAACATGGTGTTCATGGTAAACAGATCAGTTTTCAACCTCTGCATCAGTCATATTTAATCAAGTATTTAATTAATTATAAATAATACATGTTGAATTGATAAACCTATATAAAGTATAGTTTAAAGCCTTCATATATATATTAACCAGAACAATACAACTATTAATAACAGGCAGGATTATGGAGCTACAGGGTCACAGCTGAAGCATGGGACTCCATGTCTCCACAATAAAATGGAAGATAAAGACAAAGACAAAACTACTCTAGTAGTGGTAAAGGAGATGACTTCTAGTATTAGAGCATGGGGGAACTAAAACAGACTGAACTTAGTTCTAAGTGCTACCATCTGATAATGAAAAAGAAACAAGATATGTTAATGTATATGAAGTACATGATACTGGATGGAAAAAGATCCTTATCCAAAGCCCTGGGAAGAGGTAGAATTTAGAGAAGAAGCAGGTAGTGTCCTTTCCATGACCTGCAAAGACATATACAAGCAGAAAGGGAGAGAGAGGGAGCACTTCCGTAATGCACTCAGAAAGTCTGCCTTTTGTGATAATTCTGTAAAAATCCTCACACCTTATTTCTGCATTTTATTAAATATCTACTGAACAAGTGACATCTAACATCTATTAGCTTTAATAAACGTCTACTGAATAAAGATGTATGATATTCCTTAAAAGTCTCATTTATAAGTCACAGAAGATTCCCAGATTATACCATGCTCTCCCTTTATTTTTTTTTCAAATTTTTATTTAAATTCTAGTTAGTAAACATATCATGTAATATTGGTTTCAGGAGTAGAAATCAGTGACTCATCACTTACATATAACCCCCAGTGCTCATCACAAGTACCCTCCTTAATGCCCATCACCCATTTAGCCCATCCTCTGCCCACCTTCCCTCCATCAACCCTTGGTTTGTTCTCTACACCATGCCCTCTCTTTAATAAATACAACAAGAGAATACAAATATAACTAAAATAGGAAAATAAAGGGGCACCTGGGTGGCTCAGTCGGTTAAGCGTCCGACTTTGGCTCAGGTCATGATCTCACGGTCTGTGAGTTCGAGCCCCGTGTCAGGCCCTGTGCTGACCTCTCAGAGCCTGGAGCCTATTTCAAATTCTGTGTCTCCCTCTCTCTCTGACCCTCCCCTGTTCATGCTCTGTCTCTCTCTGTCTCAAAAATAAATAAACGTTAAAAAAAAAATTTTTTTTAATAAAAAATAAATAAAATAGGAAAATAAAAACAAAATGTTAATGACCAGGCTAATGAGGATTCTTTTCCAAGAACGTCCCCTTGAAGAATGTGAAGAATGAACCTAATACAAACATCTATAACTATGACACAGATATCCTGAGCCTGAAAATTCAGATTCTCCTGAATTGGTAAATTTACCAATATAAGCAAAAACATATTTTCTACTGATAATTTGTCATTACCACAGTCCTACCTTCAGTTTTCTGCTGTAAAACTGTCATCAAATGTTCTATAGCTTCATCCACATGCAGCCCATGGAGGTCTAAAACGTTCTGTGGCAGCAAGGAGGCATTGACTTTCTCAAAGATCTCCACAGCAGCAAGGTGATTGGCTTCTTTCATCTTCTGCTCATGGAGACTACCCTTTAATTATAAAAAGATCACCAGTAAACACTTTTTATATTTGCTACTTAGAAGGCAATGAGGAAACAAAAATTGTCCCAAATAAAATGCAGAACAAAAAAGAGAACAGCAAATCTAAAATTTTAAATAATGCAGTAGGCTAATATGCAAGAATGCACCACAGTTTAGGTGAATTTCAGTGAATTAATAACATATTTCTTACAATATTAAATCATCAATTCTAACATATTTCCTGATCCAAAAATCATAGATGAGGAAAACTTAAATAAACCCTTCTCAAGAAGGAATCCATTAGTTTATCCTTTGATAATCCTGGCCTCATCCCTTTCAACACCCTGTGGTTACCCCTGAAGCCATCTCTCAAGGTTTGTTATTGGGACTCATGCGGTTATACCAGTTTGATGTCTTTCTTTACACAATCACAAAACAAAAAGCAAGCCATATGGAACCACAAAGCTAAAAAGGAAATCAGACAGGTTTCTTGTAATACCATGTCCAATAAGCCTGAGTAGAAATTTTACTTCCCTGAAAGATATTAATGTAACTTTCTTTTTCAGACCATAAAAGTGATACATTACTGAGATGCCTGGATGGCTCAGTCGGTTAAGTGTCCAACTTCAGCTCAGTTCATGAGCTCATGGTCTGCGGGTTCAAGCCCCGCATCAGGCTCTGTGCTGACAGGTCAGAGCCTGGAGCCTGCTTCAGATTCTGTGTCTCCCTCTCTCTGTCCCTCCCCTGCTCGCTTTCTCTCTCTGTCTCTCAAAAATAAATAAAAATTAAAGAAAAATTTTTTTAAGTGATAACATTACTAAAAATTCAAACATGATAGAAAGCACAAGGTCTCTGTAATTCCACCCTGAGGTGGTCAATATTAACATTCTGCTGTCTTTCCTTCAGAAAACCTGTATCTGTTTAGAAGTAGTACTGAATGACAGAATTTAACCTAAAAGAAAATATGGACTGTCAGAATAAAAAGTAATTCATGTAAGTCATAAATGCAAAAGGAACCACAGAAATTGAGCATTTCAAAGGAGACATAATTCTCAGAACCATCTTATATATCAGGATACCTTATGTCACCTATATAATCTACATTCCCCAGAATAACTTGATCTAGTCACAATACGAGTATCACCTGCTTTAAGATTATTCAGACATCGTAAGGGACAAAGAAAGAAACAGTAATCAGTTTTCCTTTTTACCTGCTGGGCATAAAACGTGGCAACGTGTTTTTTCCCCATCCGGTAAGCTTCTTTTGCTTTGCTGTAGCATTCCATTCTCTTCTGTTGATGAAGGAAAGCTTCTGCCCTGTAGTCATTATACTCTGGATACTCAAAATCCTGGAAAGATGGTTCACTTGGTGTATCTTCAGTCTCTTTCGATTTCTTGGCCTGTAAGATGTTACACAATGAGTAAAATACAAAGAAAGTAGAAAAATACAGGCTTTACCTTCAGAAAATGTATGTGAAAATTGGGCTCTACTATTTTTTTTTAAGATTTTAATTTTAAGTAATCTCTATACCCAAAGTGGGGCTCTAACCCACAACTCTGAGATCAAGAGTTGCATGCTCTACTAACTGAGCCAGCCAGGCGCCCCTCTATCATTTTTTGTCTTTCTTCTCAGAAAACAGACTCTCCCCAGAGTCTACCTAGTAAGTCATGCATTTCGTGGCTATCATTTTTTCATGCTATAGGGTACCTCTCCTTTAACCACTCTTATCTTAGAAGATGTTGAAAAGTTCTCTAAAATTATCAAAATATAATTAGGTCACAAAATCAAGCCAAAAGAGAAAACACACACTATTCAAAGAATAACACTCATTTATCAAATGCAAAATTTACCAAATTCTAGTTTGTAAACCCATTCAAAAAGTCTAATCATTGAAGGTAGTAATGGCATATTTCAATTTATGTGTTTTAAAAAACAATCAATAAAATAACTAAATAGTATTCTTTTTAAAACAGAAGGGCATATAGAGTGACCATAGCTAACAATAAAAATTATAAGTAGGTTTGGGGCGCCTGGGTGGCGCAGTCGGTTAAGCGTCCGACTTCAGCCAGGTCACGATCTCGCGGTCCGTGAGTTCGAGCCCCGCGTCAGGCTCTGGGCTGATGGCTCAGAGCCTGGAGCCTGTTTCCGATTCTGTGTCTCCCTCTCTCTCTGCCCCTCCCCCGTTCATGCTCTGTCTCTCTCTGTCCCAAAAATAAATAAAAAACGTTGAAAAAAAATTAAAAAAAAAAATATTATAAGTAGGTTTATGGGGCAGGTCACTACCAACTAGCCACTATGGTAGTGTTGACTTCTGAGCCTTTTGAAAAATCATCTATCAAGTAATTGTCATCCAAAATACACCCTTAAATTATACAAGCAAAAGTAACTCTAAAACACAAAGTACTGAAAATAATTATGCCTCAAATACTCCCCACCAAATAGAAAATTGCATGTTTCTGAAGATGTGTCTAAAATATCAAAAGTCAGTGTTTAAAAAACAGCAAAATATAGTGACTTCTATGTCCAGTTTGGTTTTTCATGTGTCACATACTTTAAAGTGCTATTTGCAGACAACTGCTCGCAAACAGGGATCTATGTTTCTTAGTGTGTCACTGGGGGGCAGGAGTGGGGATTAATTATTATAGTTTAAATGGATTTTTTTAAAAGCTTAAAAGAATTCCAAGTATCAGGTGCCATACGAAGTAATTTAATGAACATTTTATATAAACTCAATCCCAAAATCCCCCCCAAAAATATAATCTTCAATATCTTAAACAAATCATGCTTTTCTGATATAACTGAAAGTAAATTAAATGGTATACGTTAAATTTCTAAAAACTGAAAATTGTCATTAAATTAGAAATATTATCAAAGATTATAATTATAAGGTACTCTACAATCTTTAAGAAAATGCCACTTTAATTTTTTAAGGTAATATCATTTAATACATATTAAATATTACATTTAAATTATATGTATATATTATATAACACACATATTACCAATTGACCATTTTTTCAAATTTCCTGCCTGTGAGTAGAGTCAGAAGTCACAAAAGGTTGGGGGGTGGGGGGAAACTGGTCTAAAATATAGTAATTGACTGTATATTCTTTTTATTCATTACACTTTGCTTATTTAGCCCCTAGAATTCTAGAGGTTTAAAACAAGTTAAAGAATAAAGATATCATCATCCTCCAACTCATTACCGAAGTCAAAAATCTGTAAATACACAGTTGATTTACTTTTACAACAAATACCCAACTTATTTTATGAAAGAACACAAGGCTCTCTCTCACATCAGAATATTCATAGGACCCACACACATCCTTTTGTCACTCTTGCCCGTACTTAATCACAAGCTTGTTTCATATTAATGTTTAAATATTCCATGAGTAGATGGCTTGAATCTCTGGTAAAAATCAAACATTTTAAAAGAGGGGTTAATAAAAATGCTTTCCATGACTTTTGAAAAGCCACAGTGCTTACAGTATGAACATAAATGTTTCATAGCATTAGAGTCTCTGTTGGTGTTCATACTAAAAAATGCAAATCACATTTGGTTCTCTGGGAAGAGACCCTTTATTTCTTATTCTTTTAAAAAGAAAAAAAAACAGTATATAATGAGAGATATTTTCTCAAATAGCTACCCTTTTTCAAAATAAAACTATGATTTTTTTATATCCACTTCATACTGATATGGTTTATTATAACCTCATTAACAAGGGTCAAGTGAAATATATGCTTCCTAAGAATTCACCTCATTAGTGCCACTTATGTACTATAATACCAAAACCATCTCCCATGGTTAACAAACTTATAAATTTTATTAAAGGGTAAAAGGAAAAATAGTAGTATTAATAAAACACAGTTTTAAATGTTAGTTCCTTGAAAATAGATAAGCCAAAATATTACCGATACCAGGATACTCCCCTTTAGTATCTGTGGTCCCTTCGGGTCCTAGGATATCAAAGACAGAGTATTCTGCTCACAAATGTTAACGTATTTTTATCAGCATTATGATACCTGCCTATATTTTGTGAAAAAAAGCTAAGAATAATCCTCAGAATAACTTAAAGTCTACCTTTTGGCCAATGTCTACATAACTCACAAAATCTACTTTTCTTATTTGAACATCTGCCATTTTGAGCAGGCACACCTTCTTCTCATCACCTCCTCTATCACCATAATGACCCAAAGTCCCTTGCTCTATTATCAGGAGAAAGAAGAAATAATCTTCATTCCCACTTGGCCTTGACAGTCTCATCATCAACTTGTATCCTCTCTGCATCTTATGAAATACTATACCTATCTATCCATGATGAACACAGGCATGTTTAGCACTAACAGATCACATGAATACAAAAATTAACTGAATCCTATATATCAATAAAGTGATGGTGATATATTGAACACAAGTTATCCCTGGTGGTCTTAATTAATAAGAATAATAGATGATAAAAAAAAAAGCCTGAAGCTAACACAAAATTTATATACAAAATCAATTATATTTCTATGCACTTATAATGTTCAATCCAAAAATAAAATTAAGAAAACAACTTAATTTATAACTGCATCAAAAAGAATAAAGTAACTTAGAAATAAATTTAACAAAACACATGCAAAATTTACACTCAAAACTACAATACAATGTTGAAGAAATTAAGACCTAAGTAAATTGAAAGATACTCCATGTTCATGGACTGAACACAATATTGTTAAGCTGGCAATACACCTCAAGTTAATCTACAGACTCAATACATTTCACATAAAAATTCCAGCTGGCTCAGTTGGAAGAGCATGCTCTTGATAAGAGGGTCATAAATTCAAGCCCCATATTGGGTGTAGAGATTACTAAAAATAATAAATAAATAAACTAAAAAAAAAAAAACAAAAACAAAAAAACAAAACAAAACAAAACCCTCTTTGCAGAAAATGGCAAGTTGAGAACTACAAAGGGACCAGAAGAGGCAAAACAATCTTGAGAAAAGAACACAGTTGGAAACTCACATTTCCCTATTTAAATCTTAACTACTAACCTACAGTAATCAAGGCGGTGTGAAACTGGTATGATGACAGACATACAGATCAATGGAACAGAAATGACAGTCTAGCAATAAACTTATAGTCAATTCATTTTCAACTAGGGTGCTAAGAAAATTAAATGGGGCAAGAACAATCTTTGCTACAAGCGGTGCTGTGACAACTGGATATCTGCATGCAAAAGAATGAACTTGGATACCTATCTACATACACCATATACAAAATTAACTCAGGGGAGCCTGGGTGGTTCAGTTGGTTAAGTATTCGACTTCGGCTCAGGTCATGATCTCACATTTCGTGAGTTCAAGCTCCACATCAGGCTCTGTGCTGACAGCTCAGAGCTTGGAGCCTGCTTCAGAATCTGTGTGAGTGTGTGTGTGTGTGTGTGTGTGTGTGTGTGTGTGTGTGTGTCTCTCTGCCCCTCCCCTGATCACGCTCAGTCTCTCTCTCTTTCTCTCCCTCCCTCCCCTCTCAAAAATAAACATTAAAAGAAATTTTTTTAAAGAATTAACTCAAAATGGATCAAAGATCTAAACATGACAAGCACTAAAACTATAAAACTATATTTTAGAAGAAAATATAAAAACAAACAACAAAAAAATTACTATATAACATGAAAAACAAAAACACTTCATGACCTTGGATTAGGCAAGGGTTTCTTAAATGACACCAAAAGTACAAGCAACAAAAGAAAAAAAGATAAACTGCACATCATCAAAATTAAAACTCTTGTGCTTCAAATAAAAGACACCATCAAGAGCAAAAAGACAACCCTCAACATGGGAGAAATTTTACAAATCATATGTCTGGTAAGGGACTCGTATCTAGACTATATAAAGAACTCATACAACTCAAAAATAAAAAAACTTTTTTTAATGGGCAAGGAATATAAATAGACATTTCTTCAAAGAAGATATACAAATGTCCAATAAGCACATGAAAAAGTGTTCAACATCACTAGTCTTCCCTGAAGACTAGTGCAGATCAAAATGACAAGGAGATTCTTTATTAACCATTTCTTTTATTTCCTGTTTTCTGATGCTTTGACATCTAGGGCCTTGCTAACCCCTAGAGAGGCAGTACCCCCAACCCTGGGGTTAGCCAATTCTGAGAGATAGCAAACAACTCATCTGCTAGCATACCTTACATATGTAAACCCACCAACCTAGAGTTCATACCCTCAACTACTTCCTTTATGGGGTTCTCAACCTCAGGGTCACCATCCACATTGTCTAATCACCCATGCCAGATACCAGAACACCAGGGACAGTTCCTACTCCCCAGAGCCCGCTGAAACTGTTCAAACTAGCCAATCTTAAACCTGTTTACCCTGCCTCACCTATTCCTCCCCACAGAAACCACAAAAAAGGCTCTTGCCCACATTTCCACTCTGCTCCCTGTCTCCTGACTGACCCTGGTTCTTCTCCAGGTGGCCCTGGATGGCAGGCCATGCCTCCTGTTTCTAGAGATCTGTGAGTATAATAAATTTCTTCCTTCATAACATTTCCATGTCTAGGTATCTTACCATATCTGATTAAAACAAATCCCATGTACCCTTAGGACAACTTCACAGCCACTAAGATGGCTATAATCAAAAAGACAGATATTAACAAGTGTCAGAGATGATGTGGGTAAATTGTAACCCTCATACATTGCTGGTGGAAACATAAAATGGTAGAGCCACTTTGGATAAAAATTTGGCAGATTCTCAAATAGTTAAAATTTTCTGCCTAGATATTTAACATATTTACATCCTAAAACCCACCATAGCACCACCCCACCATTATTCAATTAAGCCCCATATGCTACTGTGTAGAGTCTATACAGAAAGTTATAGAAATTCAAGTGCTTACCATACACAATGACACTGAATAAAAAAAATCATAATCGGCTACAAATTCATTATTTTAAACAGATATCCCACCTAAATGAAATATGCTACTGGTGGTTAAATTTCCAATCTAGTTAAAATGTGAGAAATAATCATTAAATTACATCAACAAACCAATTACATTTTCATATGAAATTATTTACTTTATAATAAAAAATAAGTAACTCTATACCTTTTTCTCCTTAGACTTCTGTGTAGCATGAGAAGTGACATTCTCATTTTGATGAACAAACTCTTGCGCTACAACTGTTTTCACAGGGTCTCCTTCAAGAACGCAGTTTAGAAACTGGACTGTGTGTTCTAATGAATAGCTGTAGAGAGTTATAAATATGATGTCAATAAAAAAAAAGTTATATGAAAACATTAACATAAGCAACACTTCAAACATTTTAAAATATGAAAAATTGGCTCATTTCTAAGTTTTAAACACTAACTTTATGTATCTCAAAGACTCAAGAGTGACAAGAAGGAAACAATAAGCCCCCCAAAACTAATTTCTGTAAATTAATACCAAAAGGTAACATATTGATAATTAATTCACTGTCTGATCTTTTATTACAGATTGATTATCCACAACAAATCTTACTTTCATTTTATCACCTATACTTCTTAGGTCCCTTGCTGGATTCACACATGGTTTCAGTTTCCTTCAAACATCAAACACAGACAAAAGATCTTTAAACTGACATTTTTATTGTGTCAAATTTTACTTTTTACTTAAACCGTAAGGTTCTAGTCAGAGAAACTCTAAGCAGGGACACAGAAAGGAAAAAGTAAAACACTATCCTACCTCTCACCCCTAATTATTCATGCATATTTTCACAGTGATTCTATATTGTAGGCAGTATCAAATTCTACAAATTGACAAAGACTTGAAACACTCATGTTCCAATATCTAAAGAAACTCATTTCAAAGCAAATTATAAATGATTTTATACTGCTCATTATTTCAGGCTATATGCCTCTGATCTCTTCCAATGACCAGGTAACTAAGAGCTGACAAGAAAGGAATATTTGTGAAATGTGATAGTTCCCCTAAGTAGTGTGACATTTTGTTCTTCTTCAATTTAATGAAGACAACCTTTGATGGAGAACCATTTTGAACTACCAATTCCACTTTAGCCCTGATCTTGCTGCCTCAGATATGCTCAACAAAACAAACAGAGGTTCCTAGGGGTAGAAGCTACCAGCAACTATCCACATCCTAAATAGCCCTTAAAATTACGGGCTTGCTTACTCATGGGGCTGGAAGGCAGTATCTTCCATTAGTAATGCTAGAGGAGTATGGCCCTGGAACATTGTACTGTAGGCATATTCTCAGTAACTGAACCCACTTACCCTTCTTACCAGGATGATGGTGAAGCTACTGCTAACTGAAAAAATTATACAGCTGCTGGAAAACAAATGGAGGCAATTGACCATCTACCCTGATGGGCCGGACTAACCCATCACTGTGGGCATCCCCAGGAAGGACTCACTCCGTCCCCCTTACCTTGTCTGGGGACCCACAACTCTAGGTTTTTTACAACTGGCCTTCTTGCCCCAGGTCCCTATAAAGGAGAGTTGCCATATACCAGTGCCACTCCCCTAATCCCCATGCCCACCCCCCACCCCACCCCCTGGGGAGATTTTAACACGTAACTCTAAGAAAACAGCAAGTTAGGTAGCAAAAACAAATAGGGAAATTGTGGATTGGAATAATAACATTAAAAACTTGATTTAAGTGACATGTTTAGAACTCTACATACTCAGCAGAGAATATTCTTTTTCAAAAGCACTTTCATGTAATATTTATAAAAACTGATCATGTATTAAACCACAAAGAAAATCTTAAATTTCAAAAAGAACTCTTCCAGGCCACATTCTTGTACCTCAATAAAACAAAACAAACTAAGCAATAACCCTCACCCCACTCACCACCAAAGCCATTAAACCATTTAGAAAATTAAAAAGCCTTGGGTAAGTGAGAAAATCAATCTGAATTAGAGATTATTTTAAAAATAATAAAAATGAAAATACTACATATCAAAATCAAAGTATTACATATATATAAAAACATGATAGAAAGAAAAAATTAATGCCCGTAAGTGTATTTGTTATTAAAGACTGAAAGGAAACAAAGTAGCCAAAAAGTTGAAAATACATCAACAAATTTTAAGAGAAAGGAATTATCAAAAATAGAAAGGAATTGCCAAAAATTAAAAAAAAAAATAAATGATTAGAAATATAAAATAGACTTTCATCAATAAAAGAAGAGCTTGTTCTTTAAAAGGATCAATCTGGTGCTCGCTCCAGCAGCACATATACTAACATTGGAAAGATACAGAGAAGATTTGCATGTCGCCTGCACAAGGGTAACAGGCAAATTCGTAAAAGGGCCAATCTGATAAAGAGCAAAAACAGAACACAGAAAAATAAAAACATTAGGAAAAGAAAAAGGAATACAATCAAATACACAACAGTGTTTTTAATTATCAAATAATATTACATATAACTTAACAATAGTAAGATTGAAAACTAAGGTAAAACTGATTTTCTAACAAACTACCAGAACAGACTCATGAAAAAAGCAATCTGAATAAAGCAATAACCTTAAGATAGTGAAAGATTCTGAAGACCTTCTCTCTGAAAAGGTACAACTCCAGAACCTTCAAAGTACTAATTTACTTAAACTTTCTAGAGCATACAGAAAAACAGCAGTCTTTCCAGGTTACTTTATTAAGTCTAATACTAAATAAAACTCTGAAACCAAAATATGCCAAAGAGAACACAAGAACAGAAAATCACAGACCAATCTCATTTACTTGCTGGTGCAAAAATCCTGAAATCAATTCTTAAACTGCATTTAAAGAAAAAAAAATCAAAAATAAAAATCTGAAGGTAAAATAGGTTTTATTCTAGAAATCTATTGTGATTGAAATACACTAATAAACTAAAGAAAAATCCATATTAGATTCTCAGTTATAAAAAGGCGTCTATTCAAAACATCTCTTGCCAAAATACAAATTTAAGAAATATATTAAGATTTAAATATATATTATTCAAACCAGAAGTATTCCTAACATGCCAAACATCAAACATTGTGTGTAACACTACGATAATTAAAACAATATGGTGGAAACCCAGGACCAAACGAAGAGCTCAACAGAACTGAAAAATCTTTAAAGGAAAATGTATATTTTGGAATTTAGCAAATAATAGTGGTTGTATTTTATATCAGTGGGTGAAGATAATCTATTCATCCAGTTGCTTATTTGGAAAAACAATGAAGTTAAATCTCTACCTCATACCATACACAAAATTTAGAGGATTTTGAAAACTTAAAACTCCTGGATAAATGGGAAATGCTAGATTATTTAAAACTTTTTAACTATTAAAAACACTGAAGAAAATATTTTTATAATATTGGGGAAGGACAGACTTCCTAAAATGACATTAAACTCGGAAACAATAAAGGAAATGATTTTCTGATAAAACATATGAATTAAAACATGTATATGCCCAAAGTGACTATATGCCAGGTTAAAAGCTAAGTATCAGAGTAAAATAATAATTATAATCTATAGAAACAAAGATAACTACATATAACATATAAAATGAGCTCTCACAAATGAAGAAATACAAAGAACCAAATGGAAAACAGGCAAAGGTAAGCAATAAATAGAAAAATAAATTAATTGAAAAGGTTCAACCTTCCTAGTAATCCACAAAATTAAAATTTAAACAACAATGAAATATTTTACCCATCACGATCCCAAAACTTTTAGAGATTATTAACACCCAGGGTGGATTACACTATCAGTACGTATAACACAGAAAGCCTTTATCCAAAAAAAAAAAAAAAAAAATTTGGCTTACACATACAAAGCACACACACACACATTAGTATATATATGAGAAAAAAACTGAGGCCTATAAACCAGTTTCCAAAACCTGCTCACTTTCTGCATGATGTACATTGCATTTAATTGTTTATAATATACTGATTACTTGTTATCAGAAAAATTAAAATAATACACTTTCAATGACATCACAATAGAAATTATAGATAATCCTATCACTCACTTGTGGTCCTTGAATATGTCCACCAGAAAATTTTGGTTAATAGCTGGAAATATCTTAAAAAGCTGCTTCTCCTTTAGTTTAGTGGCACAATCTTTTTCAAACATAAGTGCCTCCCTTTTCTAAAACAAACAAAAAAGACAAAAATCATCCTTCAGATGGAATTTATAACACTAATCATGCTGATCCAAAAGCATGGTTATTTTGTTGCAAAAAGATTAATCATTTAAAAGCAATCACAGACTTTCTTCACTGATTAAAGACTGAAATTAGTAATATAAGTATTCTTGCACTATTTATTTATATCCCATTTTTTGCAAAGTATTTGAAGCTGTTCTTTGATATACACACACAATCACACAAGTACATATATGGTGCAAGTGTATATAAATATACACATACTCTCACATATACATACCCAGCATATTCAGACATATTATATAAAACAGATGAAGATATATGTACACATATATAAACAGGATATAAATAAATGAAGAAGTCAGAGAGTAAAGTAAGAATATAGGATAAAGCTAGCAAATAAAATTAGTATATAAATGCATGCCATAAAATCCTGTACAATTGCTAAAGATGGGCCACAAATTCAGTTCTGAGCTTCTTAGTGGCCAAAGCAAAGGGGGAAACAAAGATTCTCAGTGTCCATAAAATAAAAACAAACCAGTTGCTCAGGAGAAGTACAGCTTTTTCTGGTACTGAGACCTGAGAGAAATTTCTCCCATGGGTCCTCATAAAAGGGACACTGTGTGATGCTGTGAACAACGTCCTCAAAAACATATTCTCCTCAATGGGCAGAAACTACAATGTACAAATAAGTTGCAAATTCAGGTTGACAGAAAATCTTAAAATTCACAATTTTAAAAATTTTCACAAACATATTTACTCCAAAATAACTGTATGAGACCTGTCACTAATTGTTGTTTTCTCACGAGTTACAATCAGATCCATTTAAATTGCCAAACTAAAGAACTTTCTTAAAAATGTGCTTTTTAAATTCTAACCTAGGAATGTGGCAAACATTCTTAAAGTGATTTCTAACTCTGAGACAATTTGTTGACGTTGTGATGTAGGTACAGAATATTTTTGTTTGCTAGCAAGATGCTAATATCTGAAAAATAACTTCCTATAAAATTTCAAAGGTGACTCTGAAAATATAAAAATTGCAATCATCTAGGACAACCTTAACATATTTAGGTCATTTATAATACCAAACAACAATAAAAGAGGATTCACAACAGGTGACAATCTGACCAGTAAAAGGGACTGGTAAAGCTGAACACATCACACATCACAAGAGTAACGGAAACAAGCCACCTCAAGAATTAAAAATATTTCATGTTTTATTTAAGATACACATTATAATCTGAATTTACTAAAAAATTCAGTGATCAGATAGATTTACTAGCACCCTACCAGGTCACAGAGTTTCTAAACTACAAATTCTAAGGTCTCATCAATGAACTGAAAACTCATGACCTTATTCTACTCATATATTATGCCTAATGTTTATTTTGTATTCTTTGCTTAAAAAAATACAAAGTGTATTTCTGCTTTGGAGATGAAGAGTGAAAAGAAAGCATTAAGTAAGAAATTCTCTTACTGAGGCTCTACCTAAGGAAAAGTATCCCTGGGATGAAATAAGTTCAGCTTCTATTTACCCAACCCATAGAAAGATAAGCAAAATTCACTGATAGAAAAAAGAAAAATGCATTAAGTTGGGAAGTGAAGGTACTCATTTGTTCACTATTACACTGAGAAATTAATTAAAAGACAGATTAGAACCATAGTTTCAGCATTAAAAATGGAGTTTCAGGTAAAGGTGTCACACCATTTGGGCATAAGTTATGAGATTTCCTTATTTTTAAGAAAATACATTTCTCCAATTTATTACATATATAAATGAAGAGGATATTTGAAAGAACACTACATTATAAGACGTTACCAAAGAGGCTGCTCCTTGGACTATGTAAACATGCAACAATGGTAACATATTTCCAATTTAATTCACAAAATAACTGGGAAAAATAAATACGAAGGTAGAAGAATCCCATCATTCTTCCTATGCCCCAATTCTATGTATTGCAGCCAAATATAAAGGTGCTCCTTTTGAAGAGTCAAATGAGTAAGAAAGTAAGTAAAATGTTTTAGATACATCTAAGAATTATTTCTTTTCTTTGAGAACTGGACTAAATAACCTCTAAGTTCTTTTCCTTTTTGATTTTGAAATTTTCTAATACTAATTTTCAGAATTCCAAAAAAGGCTGAGAAGAAATGCAAAAGAAACCAAATTCACTTATGGCCTCATAAAATCTGATATGCTGAATAAGGAACAAAAATAAAATTCAAAATAAAGTTTCTGTTTGAACTTGTTTGACTGAAAGTTACAAAAAGAAGTGTATTCAATTTCTTAATTCAAATTCATAAGTTTCTAAAATGATTCTCTAAAAAATTTTGTTTTGAAGTTGGGATAGTTCTTTAATAGCAAGACAAACATTTCTTTTTACTGATTTATGAATAAAATTACCTTTAAATGAAAGATTTCTTTCATGTTTTTCTAAAATTAAAGAATTATAGAAGTAAATACTAAAAGCCAAAAAAATGCAGCTTAATCACCTGCAAAATTAAATCTAAAATAACAGTTTCGTACAGACAGGCTTTTTTTTTTTTATAGAATATCAACTAATCTCCCAGAGGCAAAAACCCCCAGCTTCAAACTTCAAAACAATTTTCAATTTTAACATTAACTTCAATCAGGTTAAATACAGATTCCAGACTAGAAAATTCAGAATTAAATGAAAATCACAAAGTAAACATACAATCAACCTAGAGTCAGAGACAAAGGCTTAATGGTTAAGGCTTAATACTAACTCATACCAAATCATGTTTTTCCTGTAAGGCAATTTCTTCTGACATTATTTCTCTGAGTGACACTTTTTTAGTTTGAGTGTTCCAATGATCCAATAAGGGTAGCATTTCAGGTGCTGCTAAAGTCTTCAGTAATTTTTTGCCTGTTCTCTGAGATGACTTTTGTTCAGGATTATCAAGACCAATACTCCCAACCAGGGAAGGATCTACAAAAGCAGTATAAATAGTGTCAGACCCTCAACAATAAATATACAAATTAAGCATTACTCATTCTGTTACAACTACCTCAGAAAGACCAAAGAAACATGATTTTTTATTTCTAGCTTCTATAACGTAACTCTGAGGTTTCAAAATAGATAGTCACATAATTGCAAACGAGACATATGTATAAATGTAGAAACGTTTCAAATGAGCAAGGATGTGGGTATCATTGTAAATCAACTCAATACTTCCTACTTTTTCTAATATTTATTTTGAGAGAGAGAGAGTGAGAGAGAGAGAGAGAGCGCGCGCGCAAGAGCAAGTGTGTGCAGGCTGGAGGAGAGGGGCAGAGAGAGAGGAGAAAGAATCCCAAGCAGGCTCCGTGCTGTCAGCGTGGAGCCCGACAAAGGGCTCAATCCCAAGAACCGGGAGATCATGATCTGAGCTGAAATCAAGATCAAACCAACTGAGCTACCCAAGTGCCCCCCCAACTCCTTTTTTTTTTTTTTTTTTTTTTTATTACATCAACACAGAAAAAATGACACACACATACATTGGTAAACAAAGGGAGTTGTAGCCCGGTGGTAGTGACCAGCTAGAGTAGCTCTGGTCAGCTCTGCTCAGCCACTCCAAGGACTGAAAGGACCAATATTCTGGCAAACCTGCAACCCACTAGAGGCACACAACAAATAAATACTGAACAAATGATATATTCAACACAAGGAAGAAACTGAACATTCTAAGAAGTTCACAATAACAAGATTTAATGTATAATATTTCAGCATCTTTAAGGGTAGCAGCATATTTTATATATTCCTTTGCTTTCCCAGAGAATAAAGAAACAGCAGATACTGCCATCCACATAAACTCTGATACCCTTCCAGTACCTCTAGCTCTCAAATAGCTTTAGCTCTTGAAGCTACAACTAAAGCACACCCAAAGAATCTTCAACCTGGAGTCCTAGTGTGAGGCGTATAAAAGAGGCGTTTGAAGGAAACGTGCACAAAAGGAGGCCCATTAACAGGTCCACCACCCTGCACTAATCACTGACAACACTACCTAAGAAGTTGTCTGGAATCAAATATTGTCAATTTGGCAGATGTTACAAAAGCAGGCTGACTTTTGTGCTCTAATAATATTAACATCAGTAAAAATTTTGAATAACCAAGTAACAACTGAATGATGCTCTCAATCAAACACATGAACATGTTAGTGCTCTCGAACCAGAACAAAATCTTAAACAGGCAATACCCTGACTATACGTATTAGAGGACACCACAGGTGGTCCACTGCGCTCATGAAAGTTAATTACGGGTGCTTTTTAGTTCTTCTAGCTTTATTTTATTTCAATATTAAATGTTAAATATTCTAAAAGAACTTTAATTTCAAATCAAAATTCTTGGGTAACACATTTTGTGGCAGTATATTTAATAATGCATTAAAATTCGTACACATACACCAAGTTTCAACATCATGACAAGAACATTAGAAGTAAAAATATGTGTTTTACCTCGCGTAAACTTGCCAGAGGATACTTCTTCTTGTCTTTGTCGCTCCTAAACACAAATGCAGGACAGGGGATTGGCAAAGGAGGGTGCATTATAAAATAAGATTATATTATTTTTCTCTAGAAATCACTTCTCCTTGTAAAACTATCAATTGTCCTTACCAAATCTAAGTAAAACAATAAAATATGATTATGAAGTAGGACTATATTAATATATTTCTGCCACTTACAGAGCTCTTAGGCTGGTTTTGTTTTGTTTTGTTTAGCAGTTTTTGAAATTTAATCAATCAGTGCTACAAGTCTTTAGAGTAAAAACTATTTATGATTTTTTCTCTTAAAAAAAGTCAACAATCATATTGAGCTCCATCATTAGTTACATAATTTGGCCCAACTGGAAATAATCAAAAATACTAGAAAGAGGAAAAATATCAGTAACCTATTTACTGATAAAAATTCATTCTCTCTCAAAGTCAAAATTCAATAGAAATCTTTCATACAACAGATTCTATTAAGAGCAAAGTGAACACAAAAGGAGCTCTTTATAAAAAGAAGCCTACCAACCATTACAGATTCTTTCCATTTCTCATGAATCACTTTAGCCAGATTCAGATCTATATGAACCACACAATCCTCAACTGTTAGAGACCCTTGTGAGGAGGGAAAAAAGAAAAGAAAATATAATCATTACTCATTATACATTTTGAGAAAACATACTCAACCACCTGATGCATCATAAAACTAATTCATATTATTACTAACCTGTATTTCTAGTTCTAAAGCTCCTAGAATAATTTTTTTATGTGCTATGTCACTGTTTTCACACTTCTTGGTGGGTGCAATTATACAATGCTTCATATATTTAAGTTATTCCTGTCCATCAGTTTACCTGAATATATTTAAGATATTCATTTCCATTAGTCAAGACTTTTCAAGAAGTGTGTTCTAAGAAATTAGTATTGCCTTAAGTATATCTGGAGTAGCACCACAGATTCAAAAAGGTTCAACTCTGCAAATAAGTATGAGGTAAATACCCAGAAAACTTTCAACATATGCATGGGATGGACACAAACTCCATATAAATACTCTCTATTTCTTTAAATTACATTTTTTTGAAATACTCTATAAACAAATGTGTCAAAAATAAGGTATATTTCAGTTAACATAGAACATAATTTCAAAATGGAGATAGAACCCTGAATCTGTTTCTATTCACACAAAGATACATATTTAGGTAATCTTTTTCTTTACCTGAATCAATACCAACAGGGCCAAATAATTCATTGAGCTGAAAAGCCAGCTCAGGAGGTAATGCCAATTCCAAACAGTCTATGGTCAGAGATTTGGCCATCATTGGCATGGGATTCAACATCTCAGTTTTATCTTCTTCACTAACTCCAGCTGACAAAGTACTCTCAGCCATTAGAATTTTCTCCATTTCCTGTTCATCTTCATTCATAAATTCTTCAGTGTTTGGAAATTTCACATAAGTCTTAGGAAGATTTTCATTTTTCTTTATTTCAAAAGAGTCAGTAAAATCAACTTCTTCATTTAACTCCAGATTTGAAGTGCTCGATACAGAGTTTAAAACATCAGACAAATTCAAAGAAGAATGTATACTGTCTCCAATCTCTGTGACTTCTAGGTTCTTCTCCATGTCCCTCACATCGTTAGCAGTAGCAGCTTTTAGAGTCCCTGAAAAAGGCTGCTTAATGTTATATAAACCTGGAAGTTCTGCCTGACTACCAGGAAGTACTTCATTAGTATTCTTTAGATCTGTAGTGCCATTAGGAAATAAATCTGTTATGAATCCTGGTTTTTCAGTAGTGATAGCTCTTATTTCTGCCTGCTCTGAGTGTCCCTTTTCTGAATCACAGGTAGACTGCACATTAGTGTTACTGACAACAGTGCCATGGCCAAATTCTGGCACAGAAGAAATAGAATCCTCCAAGGTTCCTCTTTGGCTAATAATTTCCTTCAAATTTAATCCCAGAGAAAACGGCCCAATTTGTGCTTCGTCGTATGATTTTTGGATAGTCTCAAATTCAGTATCCTCACATAATTTAGTTTCAGAGTCCAACAAAAGGCTTGTAGCCCAAATAATATCTTTGTTACACCTCTCATATAAGTCTTTTAGGGCTTCTAATGAAAAGGACCCAAAGAGTTTACAAAGAATGTTAAGATTTTCAGATTCATCAGCACTGGTGAGCTCACTTTCTTCAACATATGTGCTTTTATCATACATTACCCTATATGGAATTGTTTCTTGAATGTCTAATTTTGTGTTAATATTGAAAGCTTTTGGTTTAAATCCATCTAATCGTCCGGTTAATACTCTCACAGAATCTGAAACACTAATTTTATTCTTTTCTATTTTCCATAAGAGAGCAAAATCCTGTGGTTCAGTCTGGGTACACATGCCTTCTTCTATTCCAGGGACTTTCTTAAGTTTTCCTTCTGGAAATTCTGCTAAAGTTTGTGGTCCTACTACTCCAGGAATAGTTGGCCCACTATTGGTAAAAGTAAGAGACAATGTGTTTTGTCTATGAATCTTTTTACTTGGACAAGTTTTATTCTCACAGGCCATTTCACTGGATAGCGATTCAGAACTTCCTAGAGTAGAACTGGAACTACCCAGTGTTTTTAGTTCTTCAGGGCTTGTGCCCCAACAGGCCTCATGTGCTGTGTAGAAGGCTATTTCATTCAAACTGTCATTAGTTCCAAATTCTAGATTGGGTTCCTTTAAGCTGTCTTTTGGCATTCTTGATCTGTGCTCTCTCTGAGCTAAAGAATCAGATGAAGGCCAGTCACCCACAATGCTGAATGATTGTTTTTCAGTATTTTTATACAGATCAAACTGAGAGTGACTGAAAGATTCTGAAGCATCATCATACTGTGATTTCTTGTCCTCCTCTGTACTTTCATGTGGAGATTCTCGCTGCTGGATGTGATCAATATTCACAGATAGACTATTATCTAATACTTTGCGTGTCTGAGGGCGATTATACTTTTTGTCACTTTGTACAGATGAAGTTTTTTCAGTTTTTCGGTTCCTTTTTGTCCTCTGACCAATAGTCTTATCAACTGGCCAATCACCAACAAAATTTGATAGCTCATGTCTTGGGAACTTTTCCAAAGTTGATTTGCTTTTTGGTTTTCCAAAGGCTTTTTTCTTTACCATGGCTCTTTCTTCCAATATTTCACCAGGTGAAGATTTTTCATTTTGAAATGGTATAGTATTTGAAAGATCATAGTCTTGATTATTTTCACCATAGCAAATACTTGGTGACACTCTCTCTATGAAACTATCAGCATCAGTTTTACTATATTCTTTTTCAGAAGCCATTTCTACTTGCTCTTCTTTCTCACTTTTTTCTGTTGCTTGTCCTTTGCTTTCAGAATCAGAAAAATACATGTCTGAAACTTCCTGAATGAAAGCACTCTGAATGTTAGGATTCATACCACTTATTTCTCTTCTTCCTTTGTTTAAATCTGCATTAGACAGATATGTAACATTCTCAGGTAATATAGTTTCTTTGGTCCCTTCAAGTTTCTTCACTTCAGTTAACTCTAGATGCTTCAAAGATGAGGATAAAACATTTTCTTCTTTTTCAGAGGTAATATCTTCATTGTCTCTTGGGCTGTAAGATTTTTTTTACAGTATTATAAGGAAGTCTCTTAATGTTGCTATTAACATTATGATTTAAATTAAAAAAGCATTTCACTGAAAGACAAGACACTTAACATTTCTTCTAAAACTTCTATAAATAAACTACATTAATTAAAATTATAAAAGCTAATCGTGATCTTTTCCTAGTACATTATAAACACATCCTTTCATTGTAACCCTAACACCTAACACAATGCTTGGCATATAGGAAGCACTCAAACTTTTTTCGATTAAAAAACATGAGATTTTCAGTTAAGGTGTTCATATGCATTAAATATTAAAGGTTCTAAATTTGTTCCCAGAAGAGGACACCTGGCTTCTCTCAGAACCATTTAAGCTTAATATGTGTGAAACTAGGTCTGCCTCTACTAACATCTGTCATTTGCTACAGAGGAAAATACTTAAGCTTCATTTACAAAGTCACGAAGAGTCAACATGATTTGCACAACTAAGAGAAATGAGAGAAAGGGAGGAGAGCTGTCATTTGAAATGTCACCTGCTAAATTTTTTAAAACCATCCTCAATGTTAATTTCAGACTCAACAGCACTTTTGCCTAATCATTACACTTTCAACTTCAATACTTTTTCCTTAGTCAATTTATCAACTCATCTTCCTTTCTTTCTTTATTCCAGGAGCTCTCAAAGTCCCACCTCTCTCATGAAGCTTCCTAAGTGAAATCACATCTAACACTGAGTTTTCTACATGCCAGATGCTATTCTAAGTCCCTTTTAAGTATTAATTCATAATCCTTATGAAATTCTTATGAACAAAGTGTTATGATTGCCATTTTAGAAATGAAGAGCTGAAGTATAGAGAGATTCTATAATTTGTCAAAGATTACAAAGCCTTGGAATTTGAAGCCAGGAAACAGCTCAGGAGCCATGCTCTAAACCACTTTGCAACACTGCTCCTCAATAAAAGAGCATTTATGAATTTTCTATTCCCATCTCCTTTTTTAATAGAGATTCACCAGCCCTTATCATCAAAAAGTATGGGCGATTTAGACTTCTATCTATATTTAAGGTTATTCTTTAACTTTCCTACTTATTCAATTGTTTATATGTCCTAAATGTCTAACAGAATCAGTACCATGCTGGATTGCAAACTTTCAAAAGGCTATGACTTGTATTACTTATTCAAAGCATTTCATTAATAATCAATTTTTATAATACTAACTTGAAAGAGTATTTTCACTAATACCTAAAGAAACACAAAATAATGACAGGCGATAACCAATAAATATTGGAATAGTGGGAAGTTACACAAAGAAAGCAGGAGTATTCACAGTATAAACATGGACCCACAAAACCCTGAGGACCCACAAAATCCCATGTCATTGCTTACATAAATTTACTTCTCTTGCTAACCATATACATCTTGTTTCAGGTAAGACAATGATCTAAACTCAACAAATAACAAACATCTATTTTTATTTTTAAAGTTATTTGGCAGTGATTTCACAAGCTACAAAATTATTTTTTAAATTATATTTCAAATTGAATTTTTGTACACAGGGACTTTAACCTACCTAGTACTTCTGTCCTCACAAGAATATGCACACAACTCAATACGTTCAATTTTCTCTGGAACTGAAGAACTCATGATTATTGGCACTGAAACAAAACGCTGATAGTGTTCCAACATTCTTGTTATTTTTTCTTTGCTTACCCCATGAATATTACGTCTAAAAATTCCAGGGCAGAAAAGGGTAGAAGAAATATTGGTAATTAAAGCTTAAAAAAAATGGAACACATAACACCAAGAAAAACAATGATATATTTTTCATTTTTTTTAACGTATACAAAATAATGCTCTATTTCTAATATGTAAAAATATCTAAGCTGGTTTGTCATGACACAATATATACAGACTCTAATTTTCATCTTATTCAAGATGTCTTAAATAACCATTTTTTAAATCATTCCATATAATCTTTGCCAAACATCTTTTGTCAACTTGGAAAAAAACAACAGATCCTAATAACTTTAAAAGAAGCTATTCTCAAGCTCTGCAAAAAAAAACTTCATAAGAGTATGACCATTACTTCAAGACTTTAATTATTAACTAGTAAGTAAAAAAAATTCTACTAGTCTTCCATTTAGGCCACTATGGCAGACTAGATGTCCAAAGGGCCCTCCTGTTACAATAAAATTGAATCCCAAGTCAATTTAAGCAAATGTATATTTGAATACATTTTAAGTTCAAGCAAAGAAAAAAAATTCCTTGTATCTGAAGTCTCTGGATATCCAAATATGAAATTTGTTGTATTTGTGCTTTCACTCATGGTAGCTTATTTCTTTATTTTTATGAACTCATATTCCGTTGAACCTAATATTAAAGGATCCTTAGGCCTTAAACTGGGGGTGCTTTCCTTCATACAACATCTGGATTTGCATCTGCCAGGAGGCCAGATGGTATGCTTTAGTCTCTCAAGGATCTTAATCTTCATGAAAACATCTCAGTTGCAACACTCCTATCTTGGGTTGGATCCAAGGCTCAGTGTCTGGATCCCAGGGCTAAAATTAGTATTTGCCATGCTGGCAAATCTGGCTTTCATATTTACCTACCTCAATCTTGTCTGGTTTCAGATCACAGAGAAGCAGAGATAGAAAATATGAAAGAGAAGTTAAGAGACATAGACATAGAGGACAGAACAAAACGGCAGTATACATCTAATCCAAGTCCCAGAAAGAGAGTACATGGGACAGAAGCAATTTAAAGAAAAATGGCTGAGAATTTTCCAGAACTGATCAAAGACACAAATCCCCTGATCTCTGAAGCCCAACAAATCCCAAACAAGATAAATAAGGAATCCACTAGAAACATGGTGCTGAAGCTGTCATTCACCAAAGGTAAAGAGATGATGTTGAAAGTAACCAGAAATTAAAGAAAGAAAGAAAGAAAGAAAGAAAGAAAGAAAGAAAGAAAGAAAGAAAGAAAAAAAAAAAACCTAGTTACTGACAAAGAAACCAAGTATTAGAACCACAGCTGACTTAACAGTAATGGAAGGCAAAAGAGAATTAAACGTTATCTTCAATAACAGAAACTGTCAATCTAGAATCTATACACCCAGTGAAAGTATCTTACAAGAATGAAGGCAATAAAAGAATTTTCAGATTAAAAAAAAAAATGAGTTTGACATGAAATAGAACTATACTGTAAAGAAATTCCTAAAAGATGAATGTCAGACAGAAGGAAATTCCCAGGTGAAAGATCTATGATGCAAGAAAAATTAAGGACAAAGCAATAACCGTATGAGTGAAAACACACATTGTCTGTACACTGTACAATCATAGCACGTAAGTTGGAAGGCAGGTAAGTATCAGAGTTAAAATGTTTGAAAATATTTTTATTTTTGAGAAGGCTAAGAAAATGGTTTAACCTTAAATTTAAAGTTTGCATGATAAAAGTTTTAATGTAACCATTAAAAGGATAAAAATAGTGTATATAATTTCCAAATTAATAGAGAAAGAAAAAATAAATAAGAAATTTGCATTCAGTGAAAAAAAAATCCAAAATAAGGCATAATAGGAGGGAAAGAAGTCAAATATATAATTTTCTGCGATAGGAGAAAAACAATCACAGGAAAGGTGAGATAAAGAGAAAGTGCAGAGTGAGACAGTAAGAAGCAAGACCAATTATATGAATAACCAAAATAACTATAAAAGAACTAAGGTTAGCAACAAAAAGCCAAAGATGGACAGAGGTTTTCTGAAAACCTAATCATACTAGTTATAAGAGATATGCCTAAATGTAAAGACACTGAAAAGTTCAAAAGTAAAAGTATGGAAAAAGAAATAACACTCAAATCCTAAAAGGAAGCTGGTGTAGTTCTATTAATATTAGACAAATTAGACTTTATAACTAAAATTAACATGAAGGATAAAAGAAAATCACTTGACAAGGATAAATGGTTCAATTAGACAGATATAAAAATTTTAAGCGTCTAAGCGCTTTAAAAAATATCCTCAGAATAAAGTGAAAATAGGCAGAATTATATAAGAAGAAATGAACATACTCAACATAACAGAGTTCAGCACACCCTCTCATGCAGATTTCCTCATTCCTCCCTTAAACATTAATCCATCAAGCAAATTTTTTTAAAAAGATGTGAGCAACAGAATAGGCATGATTTAATAATATATTAACATACTATAACATACTATATATAACAAAGCATATATTTTTATCAGCAAACAGGAAACATTTATAAAACACTGACAATATACTAGGTCACAAAATGTATCTTTTATACTATCAGAGAATTAGTAATCACACAAATCGTACAATCTTACCTACTACAGTTAAACTGAAAATGAATTTTTTAAAAAACATGAATTTAAAAATAACCTTTTCAGAAATTTTAAAACATAGTTCTAAATAACCCAAGGGTTAAAAAGTAAAATTAATCAAAATGCAAATAAGGGAGTAAATGATAAAAAGAAAGTATTCTATATTAAAATTCTAGGAGCATTAAACATAGTACCTAGGGAAATTCATAGCATCAAATGCTCATATAAAATAACCTAAACTTTCAAATGAAATCTTATAAAAATAACAGAATAAACAAAATAGATTTTTTTAAAAAGCAAACGAAGTAGAATAAAAGAGAAGCAGAAGTGAATTGAACATAAAACAAACTTATAATAGAAAGATTAAGCAAGCAAAGTGATGTTTATTTGAAAAGGCTAATAAAAAATCTGATCTCTGGTGAGAATAATCAAGAAAAAAAGAAGATACACATAAATACTTTCAGATTAAAAAGAGGAACGTAAGTATGGATGCAGCAGAAATGTAAAGGTAAGAGAATACTATAATTATTTTAATAAAGTCTAAATAAATTTGAAAACTTTGGTGTAATGACAAATTCTAACTGAACCTTCTTACAAAGAAATCACCAGATCCAGACAGTTTCATAAGTAAATTCTATCAAACTTTCAAACTCACATAAACTCAGAAAAGGGAAACAGAAGAAACACCTTCTAATTAATTTTATCAACCCAAAACCATGATATCAAAACCAGGCAAAGAAAGGGCAAGGAAGAAAAAATTACTGGTCACTCATTTATACAGATGCAAAAATCCTTAACAAAATATTAAAAAACCAAATCTAGTAATGTATCAAAAGCATATAAAAAGGAATGGAAGTACTGATACACGTTACAATAGGGATAAAACCTTGAAACATTATGCTAAGTGAAAGATGTCAGACACAAAAGGCCACATATTGTATGATTCCATTTATGGGCAATGTCCAGAACAGGCAAATCCACAGAGACAGAAAAGCAAATTAACATTTGCCAAAGGAAAGGGAGAATTGGGAGTGACTAATAGCAGGTACAGGGTTTCTTTGTGAGGTGATGGAAATGTTCACTACTCAGAGAGTGGTGATGGTTGCACAACATTATGAATACAGTAAAATTAGGTTACCCTTTAGTTAGCATTAAAATTAGTTAAAATTACCAAGAAGAAAATACCCTGACCAAACTCCAGTTATGCCTATCTCTAAGAGAATACAGAGCACAAAGCAAAACACATGATGTGTCCATGTCGTAGGGTAACATTTTTATTCAAGTCAAATAATCACATAAAAAAGCATAAGTTTTGGGAGACGGGCAAGGAGAGGGGAGGGTAGTGCAATACTTGGATAGTTGGACATCTGCTACCTTTTCCACCTATACCTCCCTCACTTCCTTTCAGTATTCTAAGTCACCAGGCAGCTACAATGATTTACTCCTCCCATAGCACAAGGTTCAGGTATGCCAATCCCCAGGGTCTATTCTAATTTCAAATATTGACATTATATTATTAATAAGCAATAAAGTACTGACTATATAAGACAATTGTAATTCTTCTGTTAATTAACTCAGTATTAGGAATAAGATACAAACTCTTCAAAAACTGAAAAAGAAAGTCTATAGGAAATACAAAATTTGTTACAAAAGCTGTAATCCAATCTATTTTGTTTCATTGATTATTTATAGAGAGAAAAAATCTAGATGGACTTTCTATCACTGCCATAAAATTAAAAACGTGTTAGATAGTCTCTACATTTTACCTTGCAAGTTCCTTTGGTTTGAACTTCCACCATGTGTCCGGTTCCCGGAAAAGAACTTTATATTTATGTTTTTGAGACTATGTACAAAAAAAGACAAATGTATTTAAAAATAATTACTTCCATGAAACTAAAGGAATTGTTTCCAAATTCACAGCATGTTAACTGAAAGAACCTAAAGATTATCTAATTGTGATGGGTTTGTTAAATCGGCAAAATGCACAATCTCATTGACCCAGCAATTAACTTCCAGAAATTTATGCTACTAATAAATTATTATATGACTGTAAATACACACACACACACACACACACACACACACACACACACCCCTAAGATATCCAGTTCATTATTATTTGTAATAGCAAAAGGAGACAACACAGTGACTATTAATATGCAACTGGCTAAATAAATGAAGGTACAACCATACAATGAAAATACATACAGAAATTTTGGAAGTTCTATATGTGTTAAAAAGAAAAGGCCCCAATATAAACTGTTAAGAAAGATACATAATTTTCACTTGGGTAAAAAAGAATTAATCACACATTTTTAAACAATATAGAAAACTTCTGGAAAGATTCTAAAAAATACTATTAAAAGCATCTACCTCAAAGGAGTAGGACTTTTTGGCACTCTTTTTTATAATTTGAATATTTATCATACATGCATTACTTTTATAATTTTGAAGCTATTTCAAATAATAGCTCATTCAATTTTTCAAAACTCTAATAGGACCATTATCTAAAAGCTATGCCCTACATTTCTGCACTAGATCCAATCTCCTCTCTCCACCTCAAGAATAACCAAGTTCAGCAATTCTCCCCTCTGAGTTATCATCAATTTTTCCCTCCATCTTGAATCAATCTTATCACATTCAATTATTTCTCCCATCTTACTCTTAATCCCCTTTCCTCTGCCAGCTCCCCATTTTCCTGCTTCCCTTTGCAGGAAAATGCCTTCAAAAGAATTACTACACTCTATTTCCAATTCCTCTCATCACTTCTCTTAAACCCACTCCAATTAGCTACTCCACTGAAACTGCCCATCAAGACCACAAATTACCTCCACATTGAAAAATGCTACAGTTAATTCTCAGTCCTCTCCTACTTGACTCTCAGCAGCATTTATCACAGCTCACCACTTCCTTCTCCCGACACTTTGTTCCTGCATACTTGCTTTTCCTCCAGCTCCACTAAAATGTGTCCTCAGTCTTTTTTGCTAGTCCTTCTTTTCCACCCACAACTCTTCGCACAGTGGAATGTTTAGTCCTTGACTTAGTCCTTGGTCCTCTATTCTTAATCTATACTCACTTCTTTAGTAATATCATCCCATTCCTTGGCTTTGAATATCACCCATATGTTAATGACTCTAATACCTATTTTTAGCTCAGAATTCACTCCTGACCTCTGGACTCGTAGATACAACTACCTATTCACCAAACTTAACATATTCAAACCTAAACTTTTGAAATCCATTACTCCAAAAGTATTCTATCTAAACCCTTCGCCATCATTCTCAGCTCATGGCAACCTCCAACTACACAGGCCAAAAACCAACCCTAATGTCACACTGAACTCCTCTCTTTCACATCCATATCAATCCAACAAGAAATTCAGTTGGTTTTACTTTCAAAAATATACCCAGAATGGGGCGCCTGGGTGGCGCAGTCGGTTAAGCGTCCGACTTCAGTCAGGTCACGATCTCGCGGTCCGTGAGTTCGAGCCCCGCGTCAGGCTCTGGGCTGATGGCTCAGAGCCTGGAGCCTATTTCCGATTCTGTGTCTCCCTCTCTCTCTGCCCCTCCCCTGTTCATGCTCTGTCTCTCTCTATCCCAAAAATAAATAAATGTTGAAAAAAAAAAATTAAAAAAAAAAAAATATATCCAGAATCTAATCACTACTCATCATCACTTTCACTGCCACCATGTTGGTCTAAGCTATATGATCTCTTACATTAATTACAACTACAGCCCTCTAATTAGTCTCTCTGCTTCCATGCTTGCCACTCCAGCCCCAACCCCAAGTCTATTCTCAGCACTGGGCTACAGCAATCCTGTTAACTGTCATGGATCACGTCACTACTCTGCTTAAAACCTGGTTATGGACTGAATGTTTGTGTCCCTTCAAACCTCACTCACCCCATGTGACTCTATTTGGAGATAGGGCCTTTATGGAAGTAATCAAGATTAAATGAGGGTATCAGGGTAAGGCTCTGATCTGATAGATCTTGTATGCATACAAGAAGATACACCAAAGAACTCACTATATACAATAAGAGAACATGCAAGAAGGCAGCCATGTGCAAGCCCAGAAAACAACTCTCACCCAGAGAACTATGCCATATCTTGATCTGGGATTTCTAGCCTCCAGAACTGTGAAAAAAAACAAACAAACTACTTTTGTTGTTTCAGACACCCAATCGTGGTATCTTACTATGACAGCCTGAGCAGATTAATACATCTTCCATGTCACTCACGGTAAAATCTAAAATTCTTACAGTGATCTATGAGGCCTTATATAATCGGCCCTACCATCTCCACAACCACCATTACATCTCTGACCTCATCTCCCACTACTGATCCCCTCCCCTACAGTTTTATGACAAGATGCCAAAAGTACTCACTGCTATTTTCTGCCATTCTGACAGAAAAGTCCCAAAATCAACCAAGACACCACAGTAGGAAGTGACATAATACCCTGTAATGACTCTATTCACTTCTATCTCCTCACCTCAATACCAAATTTCATACACTTTATTCAGGGCCTGGCAACAGCCCTGGTCTCTAATGACCTAAAGGAGTGTCATATAGCTCTCAGGATCAAATTAATTTTAAATGCATACACAGAGAGAGAAAAAAAGAGACTGAATTTAAAGACTTCTCCAACTCCCATATCAATAGGTAAATCTTAATAATGTTACATTAATTGGGATGATTCTGATTTACCTTAAGTTATATGATAACTCACAAGGGAAACTACATATGTATATGTATATACATATATACACATAACTACATATATACGTGTATATATACGTTATATATATATTTAACTACACGTATGTACACATAACCACATATATATATATACACACATATATACATAGAACAAAGTAATCAGTTTTGCCAGATGCCACTAAGCATACCTGACTGCTCGCTACTTACTCAACTCACTACTTAACTACTTTTGTAAATGACAGTCAAGATAGTATTAGACTGTTATCTCCAATCTACTCCACTCCCCCACAGCTCTCATTATCTTGTTACCAAAAGAAGCAAAAAGGGATCCTCCTTCTCTACAGTAATTCCTATAACTACTTCTTTTTGAAGAAAAAATGAATTTGGCATTCTATGATAAGCAGCAGTAATTTATACTTTTTAAATTTTTTTTTAATGTTTATTTGTTTTTGAGAGAGAGAAAGAATGCAAGCAGGAGAACGGCAGAGAGAGAAGGAGACACAGAATCCAAAGCAGGCTCCAAGCTCTGAGATGTCAGCACAGAGCCTGACTCAGGGCTCAAACTAACAAACTGCAAGATCATGACCTGAGCAGAAGTTGGAAGTTAAACCAACTGAGCTACCCTAGCGCCCCTTGTCATTCATACTTCTAAGTAGAGTTGGGAATAGCCAAGGAATCAATAATGGAAAAATAGCTTTATAATTTCAATTATTATATAAGAAAAAAGAGAAAGAAAAATATTATGGAAGTCTGAAGGCTAAATGAAAACCAGTAACTCAGTAATGCAGGGCCTTCTTTATTTTCTACATAGGAAAATGAAGTGTTAAAGAACTTTCTAAGATGATAGCAGGAAGCTAAGGAAAACATACAGAGAAGTAAGAGTAAGGGGGAAAGCATTTCCCATGATAAATACGTTAGACTAGAAATTAGGAATTCCTGAGGCCAGAAAGCAAACTGAATTTCAACTTCCAATGGACTAAAATTGAGTCTTTGTTCCCTCTACTGCCCCTGCACAGAAGTAAAATCTCATTTGCTCTCAAATGACATTAATTTTCTTCAGAAAATGAAGAGTCACACCTTCAAAATAGTACAAGTGCACTAAACACAGCAAAGGAGGCAGAGGCTGGACGTGCTGAGAACACAAAAGAAGCAGCACAACATTCATTAACTGAAGAAACATAAAGCGAGCTTTAAAGTGCCAGACATGTGCTAATATTGAGGGAGTAAAATAATGAATACCCCATAATCACAAAAGCTTCATTCATTCATCATTTTAAGCCAACAAATACATATTTACTATATGCCAAACCCAGTGCTATATCCTAGAGAGTCAACGATGAATAAAACAGACCTACCTGCAAGAATATATAGATGGCTTAGAGCCAAATTCGGCCCATTAGCCAGTATTTGTACAGCCTAGGAGCTACGGATAGTTTTGTTTTGTTTTTTTTACATTTATTTATTTTTGAGAGACAGAGTGTGAGCAGGGGAGGGGCAGAGAGAGAGAGGGAGACACAGAATCAGAAGCAGGCTCCAGGTTCCAAGCTGTCAGCACAGAGCCTGACGCGGGGCTCAAACCCATGAACTGTGAGATCATGACTGAGCCGAAGTCGGATGCTTAACCGACTGAGCCACCCAGGTGCCCCAATTTTTATATCTTTAAAGGATCATTTGAAAAGAAAAGAAAAAAAAAAAAGAAAAGAATATACGACAGAGACTGTATGTGGCTCACAAAACCTGAAATATTTACCATCTGGCGCTTCATAGAAAAAAGTTAGCCAACCCAATGACCTACTGATAAAAGCAGTGTGCTTAAGGCTATCACAAAAGAAAGCCAGGATGCCAGGAAAGCAGAAAGAGTACTCTATTCAGCTTTTTAGTAAGTTAATGAATGCTAACTTCCTGAAAAAGGTGACATCAAAGCTTGGAAAAAAAAAAAAAAGAATATGGCAAATTTGGAGAACTGAAAATAGTTGAATTTATAAAATTCTGAATTTATCCGAAGAGCAAACTTTCAAAAGAAATTTAAGGACTAACAAAGGACCACCAACTTTGATTCTGCCAAATAATAGCAATAAGGAAAAAAGATTTTGTGTGTATACACACGTGCGCACGCACACACACACACACACACACACACACACACCCCTAAATTATAATTATGCATATGCACACAAACATAAAATTATAATTTAATACCACTACCTTTTCATAAAAGACATCAAAAACAAAAACTATCTCAGAGTTTAAAAACTGAATCTCAGAATTTGAAAACTGAATAAATTCAGTTTTACGCAAAAATGATTCCTATTTTTCTCATTTTGCTTAAGTACACAGAAAGCTCAGTTATAGACAGTCCAAGAGCTGTTTGCTTGAGATTCACTTGTGTAATTAACATCCCCCAATAATTTCAAACTTACTACTACTGACTTATGATAATTTATGATACAAACCAAAGAAACATATGGCTTCATTTCCCATGCCTGTAGGTTTGTATTGTCTATTATTATAGGAGACACCTTCTTCTCAAATGCTTCTTTTGCTGAAAAACACAAACAGAAAATGAAAAATCACTTTTTATAACAGTATTAAGTATTTTCTTGAAATTCTGAAATCTGACCTTGTTTTCATAATTTGAAAATCATGGATATGTGCTAATTTTACTCACAACTCAACTTCTAAATATCACTTTTGAGTATATAAAAATTAAAGTACAGATAAGTGTTGGATAATAAACAATAAATACTAAAGTTATAATCAGAATATTTTTAAAAAAACTGATCTAAGTTTTATGTGTGTTACATGTATAAACAGCATATATGGGGAAAAAGCTATCCTTAATATCATCCTAAAAGCAACATTGTATCTTGGATAAGATTCTAGAAGGGATAAGAACTTTAGTAGAAAAACTAATATCAAAATAAAGCCTAGAGTTTAGTTAACGATAATGTACCACTGTTGGGGCACCTGGGTGGCTCAGTTGGGTAAACAACGGACTCTTGATATCAGCTCAGGTTGATCTCAAGGTTTATGAGATCAAGCCCCATGTCAGGCTCTGCACTGCACTGATAGTGCAGAGCCTGCTTGGCATTCTCTCTCTCCCTCTCTCTCTGTCCCTCCCCTGCTTGTGTGCTTTCTCTCTCTCTCAAAATAAATACATAAACATTTAAAAATAATAACAATAATAATAATAATGTACCATTGTTAATCTCTTAGTCTTGACAAAGGTACCATGGTTATATAAAATGTTAACAGAAGAGGGAAATGGGGGAGGAGTATACAGAAACTCTATACTGCCTTTGCAACCTTTCCATAAATCAAAAATTATTCCAAACATGAGTTTTAAAACAAACAAGCATAATATATAAATAAAAAAACACACACAAAGATGTAATGATTTGAAATAAAGAAAACATTATTAAACACTGTATAAGAGATTTTCTTATAAAACTACCTTTTTCCCCCAGGAATTAGACCTATTCAGGAAATTAATGATGAAGCACAGTAAGTATGCCTTACAAGGAAATTAGCTGAAAGTTTTTTTTTTTTTTAATGTTTATTTATTTTTGAGAGAGAGAGAGAGCGTGCACACGTGCATGCGTGCGAGCATGAGCAGGGGAGGGGCAGTGAGAAAGGGAGACACAGAATCTGAAGCAGGCTCCAGGTCCGGAGGGCTTGTCAGCGCACAGCCCAATACAGGCTGAATGCAGGGTTCAAACTCAAAAACCAGGAGAGCATGACCTGAACTGAAGTCAGAAGCTTAACTGACTGAACCACCCAGGTGCCCCTATTTGGAAGTTTTAAGTTTCATGTACTCTCTTACAACTCAGTAATAAAAAGGCAAATAATCCAATTTAAAAATAACAAAAGACTAAGGAGCTAGAAAAAGAAGACAAACAAAACCCAAACCCAGCAAAAGGAAAGAAATAATAAAGATTAGAACAGAAATAAATGATATAGAAACTAAAAAGACAATGGAAGAAATCAATGAAACCAGAAGCTGATTCTTAGAAAAGATCAACAGAACTGACAAACCTCTAGCCAGACTTATTAAAAAAAGAGGACCCAAATAAACAAAATCACTAATGAAAGAGGAGATAAAACAACCAACACCACAGAAATACAAATAATGGTAACAGAATATTATGAAAACCTATATGCCAACAAACTGCACAACTTAAAGAAAATGAATAAATTCCTAGAAACGTATAACTACCAAAACTAAAGCAGGAAGAAATAGAAATTTTGAACACACCAACTACCACCAATGAAATTGAATCACTAATCAAAAAACTCTCAAAAAACAAAAGTCCAGGACCAGATGGCTTCACAAGCAAATTCTACCAAACGTTTAAAGAAGAGTTAATACCTATTCTTCTCAAACTATTTCAAAAAAATAGCTGAAGGAAAACTTCCAAATTCATTCTATGAGGCCAGCATTACCCTGATACAAAACAAGATAAACAGCACAAAAAGACAGAGAGAGACAGAGAGAGAACACTACAGGCCATGAATATAAACGTAAAAATATAGATGTAAGAATCCTCAACAAAATATTAGCAAGCCAAATCCAACAATACATTTAAAAAATCATGCACCACGATCAAACAGAATCTATTCCTGGGTTGCCAGGGTGGTTCAATATTTGCAAAACAATCATGACATATCACATCAATAAGAGAAAGGATAAAAATCATAGGATCATTTCAACAGATGCAGAAAAAGCATTTGACAAAGTATGACATCCATTCCTGATAAAAATTCTCTACAAAGTAGGTCTAGAGGGAACATACCTCATCATAATAAAGGCCGTATTTGAAAAACCCACAGCCAATATCATACTCAATGCTAAAAAATTGAGAGCTTTTGCCCTAAGATCAGTAACAAGACAAGGAGGTCAACTCTCATGACTTTTATTCAACATAGTGCTGGAAGTCCTAGACACAGTAATTAGTCAACATAAAGAAATAAAAGGCATCCACATTGATAAAGAAGAAGTAAAACTCTCACTATCTGCAGATGACATGAGATACTATATGTAGAAAATCCTGAAGACTTCACCAAAAAACTACTAGAACTGATCAATTAATTCAGTAAAATTGAAGGAAACAAAATCAGTGTACAGAAAGCGGATGCATTCCTATACACTGATAATGAAGCAGCAGAAAGTGAAATTAAGAAAACAGTCCTATTTACAATTGCACCAAAAACAATAAAATATCTAGGAATAAACTTAACCAAAGAGTTGTGAAAGACCTGTACTTTGAAAACTATAAAACTGATGAAAGAATTGAAGACAACACAAACAAATGGGAAGATATTCCATGCTCGTGGGTTGGAAGGAAAACATTGTTAAAATGTCCATACTACCCAAAGCAATCTACACATTTAATGCAATCCCTACCAAAATACTAACAGTATTTTTCACAGAACTAGAACAAAAAAGAAAAAAAAATACTAAAATTTGTATGGAACCACAAAAGACCTCGAACAGCCAAAGCAATCTTGAAAAATAAAACCGGAGGTATCACAATTCTAGATTTTAAGTTCTTTTACAAAGCAGTAGTAATTAAAATCACATGGTTCTAGCATAAAAAGAAACACATAGATCAAATGAACAGAATAGAAAACCCAGAAATAAACCTATAATTATATGGTCAATTAATATTCAACAAAGGAGGAATGAATATGTCATGGGAAAAAAACAGTCTCTTCAACAAATGGTGTTGGAAAAACTGGACAGCTTCATGCAAAAGAATGAAACTGGGCCACTTTCTTTCACCATCCCCAAAAACAAACTCAAAATGGATTAAAGACCTAATTGTGAGACCTGAAACCATAAAAATCCTGAAGCAGAACATAGGCAATAATTTCTCTTTCATCCACTATAGCAACATTTTTCTAGTTATGTCTCCTGAAGCAAAATAAAAGCAAAAATAAACTACTGGGATTGCATCAAAATAAAAGGTGTCTGAACAGCAAACGAAACAATCAACAAAACTAAAAGGCAACCTACTGAATGGGAAAAGATATTTGCAAATGATTTATCTGATAAAGGGCTAGTATCCAAAATATATAAAGAATTTATACAATTCAACACCCAAAACACAAATAATACAATTAAAAAATGGGCAGGAGATATGAATAGACATTTCTCCAAAGAAGACATACAGATGGGCAATGGACACATGAAATGATGTTCAACATCACTCATCATCAGGGAAATGCAAATCAAAACTACAATGAGGTATCACCTCACACCTGTCAGAATGACTAAAATCAAAAACACAAGAAACAATAAGTGTTGGCAAGGATGTGGAGAAAAAGGAACCCTCCTGCGTGGTTGGTGGGAATGCAAACTAGTACAGCCACTATGGAAAACAGTATGGAGGTTACTCAAAAAAACTAAAAAACATAACTACCTTACAATCCGGTAATCACACTACTTACCCAAAATATACAAAAACATTAATTCAAAGGGATACATGCACTCCTATGTTTACTGCAGCATTATTTATGATAGCCAAACTATGGAATATGGAAGCAGCCCCAGGGTCCATTGATAGATGAATGGATAAAGGTGACACACGTACACATACACATACATACACACACACACACATGCACGCACACACACACATGAAAAATGTTATATATTATATATACATATATCATATACACACACACATAGCAGAATATTATTCAGCCATAAAAAATAATGAAATCTTGCCATTTTGCAACAACATGGATAGAGCTAGGGAGTATAATGGTAAGTGAAATAATTCAGAGAAAGATAAACACCATGTGATCTCACTTATATATGGAATTTATAAAACAAAACAAACAAGGGAAAAAAATAAAAGGGAGAGAGATAAACCAAGGAACAGACTCTTCACTATACAGAACAAAGTTACCAGAGGGGAGGTGGGTGGGAAGATGGGTGAAATAGATGATGGGGATTAAAGAGTACACTTATGATGAAAAAAATAATTTTTTTAATTTTTTTAATGTTTATTTATTTTTGAGAGAGACAGAGTGCAAGTTGGGGAGGGGCAGAGAGAGACACACACAGAATCAGAAGCAGGCTCTAGGCTCTGAACTGTCAGCACAGAGCCTGACAGGGGACTTGAACTCCTAAACCACAAGTCATGACCTGAGCCCAAGTCAGACACTTAACCGACTGAGCCACCCAGGTGCCCCAATAAGAAAATAATTTTTTAAAAAAGAACACAAGATACTTAAGAAAAAATGCATTTTTTTCAAGGAAATTTTTTCCCATTTAATTTTTAAGGGAAAAATTGTACCTGAATATAATTAATGTATTGAAAATCTTTTAATTACATCTTCAGGGGAAAACAAATTAAACAGACAACTTTCCAAAGAAGATAAACTAATGGGCAAAAGGACACACCGAAGAATGCTCAACAGCCTCAACCACCAGGAAAATGCAATCAAAACCACAATGAGCTGGGGCGCCTGGGTGGCTTAGTCAGTTGGGTGTCCGACTTTGGCTCAGGTCATGATCTCGCAGTCCGTGAGTTCGAGCCCTGCGTCGGGCTCTGGGCTGATGGCTCAGAGCCTGGAGCCTGTTTCAGATTCTGCGTCTCCCTCTCTCTGACCCTCCCCCATTCATCCTCTGTCTCTCTCTGTCTCAAAAATAAATAAATGTAAAAAAAATAAAAAATAAATAAATAAAAAACCACAATGAGCTACCACTTCACATCCACCAGGATAGTTATAATCAAAAAGACAGACAATAACAACTATTGGTGGCACTATGGAGAAGTTGGGACCCTCATAAACTCCTAGCAGGATTGTAAAATGGTGCAGTTGCCTTGGAAAACCAGTTGGCAATTCCTAAATAGGTTAGACATAGACATACATGTTCATAGCAATATTATGCATGATAGGCAAAAGTGGAAACAATTCAAATGTTCACCAACTGATGAATGAATAAATAAAATGTGGCATATCAATAAACTGGAGTATTATTCAGCCATATAAAGGAATGAATTACTGACACATGCTACAACATGAACCTTGAAAATGTTATGCTAAGTGAAAAGAAGGCTTTCTTTCACAAAAGACCATATATTATAGGATTCTGTTTATTTATTTATTAGAATTTGATATCTTTAATCTCTTATTTTTTTGTATTTTTTAATATAATTTATTGTCAAATTGGCTTATATGATTCCATTAAATGAAATGCCCAGAATAGGCAAACCTAGAGACAGAAAGTAAATTAGTGGTTGCCTAGGGCTGGGAGAGATTGAGGAGAAATGACGAGTGACTATTAATGGGTGTAGGATATTTTGGGGGTGATAAAAATGTTCTAAAAGTGTAGTGATGATTGTAGAACTCTGAATATGCTTAAAACCATGTGATTACTATCCCAATAAAGCTGTTTAACATAGAGTGCTGCCTACTGAGGCTCGGTGGGTCAGTCAGTCAAGCGTCCGACTTCAACTCAGATCATGATCTCGCAGTTCATGACTTCTGTGCTGACAGCTCAGAGCTGGGAGACTGCTTCAGATTCTGTGTCTCCCTCTCTCTGCCCCTTGCCTGCTCTCTCTCTCAAAAGTAAATAAACATTAAGAAAATTAAGAAAATTTTTTAATAAATAAGAGAGTTCTGCCTATTAATTTAATATTATTATTGCTAGGACTATTACAGTAGTAAGGGCATGTTCAACTGCTGCTCAGCCCTTCTTTCTCATTTAACCTTAACAACAATCATGAAGGTTAAGTATTATTAAGCCCTTTTACAGCTGAAGACAATAGGCCTTGGAGAGTGTAGATAACTTGTAAAACATCACATAGCTAGCAACTGCCATATCCAAGACTATTCACCACATCATATTGTTTTCTTTATTTTTTGTTGTGTTAGTATTTTCACATTCCTGAGTTCTCACTTTAATATTCAGTTCAAGAAAAAAACACAGAAAAATTTAATGTCTTCAGATGGCAAATTCAAGAATCACTTATACAGTGCATTTATCATAAAATAAAGGTGAAAAATATTGTCGATGTGTATTACAAATTCTTCAGATGAAATTCAAACTGTTCATAACATAAAATATAACATTTCATGATAAAACTGTCTTCAGTGAACAGACAGTTGCACTAATAAAAATAGTAAGGTTTTATCTCTGACCTCTCTACAAATTCAGATTGAGGAGAGCCACTTTTACTCTCACACTGCCTCCCTTAACAAGTAAATCAATCTAGGAAAAAGTAGCAGTTAACAACACCAATCCCATTTCAGGAAACAGGAACCAGAGCATAGGAGACAACTGGAACCATCTTGAGCTCTTCTGAGACCCATATAGAAAATCTGGTACACTTGTGACAAGATTCCCATTCATTAAATAAAACTTAAACATGTCATGCAACGTTCTAAGCATTTTACAAAAATTAACTCCTTTAATCCTCATAACAACTCTGTGAGATACAATGACCTCCTTCACTTCTTACTATGTAACATAACAATTATTATAATTTTACTTATTATATATAGTTGAATAATTCACTTTATTTTTTAAGTTTAATTAAAAACTTTAATTAAAGGGAATCATAACTTCCTAAAAATTATATATCTGTCAAAATACAAATACTTTATATTGCTCTTAATATTACCCAGAATCTAATGTCTATTCTTACCACGATTCTGGTTCCATTCATGTGCTTCTCCTAAGTACTTTACATCAAACTGGTACTGTCCATTTATGTAAAAATAATCATCAGTACTAAGAATGATTCCACTAGGATTATCCTCTTGCAAAGTCCTGTGAATGATAAATGGAATTGTTTTCATTAATTTTTCTTCTAAATTCTCTCTCCTAGTTTTCACAAGGTCATAATCCAAATAAAGAACTCAAGTATGGTTATTTAAAAGTGAGAATATAATAATATTCAAACAAATCACATTGGAAATGCTCTAAGCAGAAGATTGACTCCCAAGAAAACTGACCTAAAACAAACCTATTTTGTTCCTTGAATTCAAAACCAATTATGGCTTTTTAACTCTATAATCAAAGTTGAACTTATTTTTCTCCTACTCAAATTGGTTCTCTTCCACATAAAGCTATTTCTACTGATTTCAAAAGCTCACAATCTTGAAATCATCTTTAAATTTTTCTTCTATTCTGTCTCCCAAAATGACATGCTAAGATAAAATAAAAAAACTCCTGGAGAAAAGAGTGCTGCTATCAGCCACAAAATAAGAAAAAATTAGTGAAAAGAAAAGATTTCAGTGGTTACTAAACATATCTATTAAGCAAAAGCATTTCACATATTCATATTCTCTATCTGTTATAAATGCTCAGGTTCATGCATCATACTTTTTTAAAAACTCAATTAAACCTCATACCTTGCCAAAAAAGATTTTCCTGATCCTGGAAGCCCTCTGAGAAGAACAAGAACTAGTCCAACATAAGATGATGTCTTCTTTCTTACAACCTGAGAAACTGGGGTTTCTTGTACTTGATAAGCACTTGCTCCCTCTTTATTTCTCCATACCTTTGTTGGGGAAGTGTGAGAAATAACCGGAGGGGGAAAAGTGTAGTTGACAGGTCTCCAGTGTGTAGCGGTGGTTACGACAGGAGCTACAAAGCCATGATTTCCTTGAAAGAGGTCAAAAGCAGGAATCATTGGATTCCACATTGGTGGAGGTGGAGGAGGAGGCAGCAGTAGAGGGAGAGGGGTAAGTACTGGGCAGTAATTCACATCTTTCCCCTTTGACGGCAGTTCAGTACGTTTGTGCGGTTTGAAATTGAACTCTTCAGAAGGTACAAACATATCAGGGACAGAAGCAGATTTCTGATCCCCACCTGTACCTAGTAAATCAAGCCCCAGATTTTGCACAGTAAGGCTTAAAGCCTGAGGTTCACTGTCATCCAAATCTACAGGGGCTTGAGAGAACGGAGTCTCAACATACTCAGTTTCTAAAAGCTCTTTAGGTCTTTGACCACGATTGCTACCACCCACCATACTGTCACTTGCTACCTTTAAAGAACCACTGAGAAGAGAATCTTCCAATGCCAATGTGTCATCCTTTATACAACTTTTGGACTCATCTGAAACAGAATGTGAAGTTACAGTGTTTGAACTTAATGCAGAGGCAGAATTCTCTACATTTTCACTGTTCAAATCCACATTTTCTGTAGAAAGAATGGGAGTCATGCTACTTGCATCTGAATTTACAAATGCACTCGGGTCACTAAAACTGTTAACACTTTGCAAAGGCAAAAATGAGTATACTTGGTCATCAGAAGAGTTCAATTTCTCAAAAGCATTCTGTATTAAGGAATCCAAGTCTTCGGTTAGCTGCATGTCCAAAAATGAATCCATTTTTGAATCTTCACTCTCTTCTTCAGAAGGATACTTTTCCATTATTTCACGTCCCACAGCACTTACTTGGCTCTCAGAAGCAATGAAGCTTTTTGAAGATGATTCTTCTACCTTGGCATCAGAGGCAGATAATTCTAATAGACAATCCATTGCATTTTCAACTGTACAACAAGGACAACAATATAAATGTGTATTGAAAATAGTAAAATACAATTTGATTAAAATCCATGTAAAATTATACTTTTTGCACTGAATGGAATATAGAAATTTATAAATATTCAAGTAATTTTTTTATTTAATATTTTACTAGTATACCAGTCTGTATTAGTGAAAGGTTTGAATGATGGAGTCATACAATGTTGTTACTTTCAGACAAGCTGTAATAAACTAGGCTAATAAATTACCATCAAGTAGAGGTCTCTGATAAATGTGAATTAACAAAATATTTATAAATTGTATCTAAAGATATCTATAATCATATACATTACAGTTATTTATAAAGACCCTAAAACCAGTTAATTTATTCAATACTGAGCAACTGCATGTCCTTTTAAGTACAAAGTATTTTCAGTACTCTCCTGTAAATCTAATTTGTTTATATGGTTAATGCTATAAATTTCACTTAATACAAAAAATAAGTATCAGCATATACTATATATCGGATATACATTGTACAAAGATAAATAAGACATAGTTTTTACTACACTTAAGAGATTTTTGCAATCTAATGGAGGCAATTAAAGATAATCAAATTAGAAGACAATTATATTATAATATAGATTAAATAATGCACATTTTTAGTAATACACAAATGCCATAACAGCCTTATAAGAGCGTAAGGAAAGATTTCACGTAAGGTAATATGTGAACTGGGACTTGAAGGTTAAAAAGAAACTTGTCAGACACAGGAAGGAAAGGCAAAGCTGGTCTTGAAAACACAAAGTATGTTTAAGGTATTAAGAGAAGTTAGTTGGAGTATGGGTACACAGTACTATGGTGGATAAAAGGAGACAAAACTGGAAAAGATCAAGTGAAATTGGGAAGAGTCTTGTATGTCAAGGTAAGAAATATCAATTTTATTTTCTAAAGAAACTATCTGTCACCACATTTGAACTAGGAGCTTTATATATATCACCGATATGAACCCTCAAATAATACTATGAGGGTTAGTATCTCTAGCAAATAAATGAAGAAAATAAAGTTCAAAAAGTATATTAACTTGGCCCAAATCACACAGATACTAAGTGACAGAGCCAGGCCTGGTATGTCTGACTCCAATGCTGAGCTCTTTCCCTTATAACACAAATACAGAGCCATTAGAATTGTTAAGCATTTGAAATTTGTGGAGTTTTGCTTATTTTTGTGCTTTGTCTTAAGGAAATATGAAGCACAGCACAGTAGGTAACAGCTCTGGTCTGGAGTCAGAAAACCAGCATTTAAATTCCTACTTGTTGGCTATGACCCTCGAACAAGTTACTTAACTTGTGTAAGCCTTGATTTTCTCATTTGCAATATGGGGATAATAAAAGTACCTACCTCATAGGGTTGTTGTGAGGATTAAATGAGATAATCCGTGAAAAAGTGCTGTGCATAAGGACTGGCACCTAGTAAGCACCCAATTAATGTTCCCTTAAGAAGAAAAACAAAGAGGGATTGGAGGGGCAAGCCCAGCAGAGAGACCAGTTAGGAGATTATAGCAATAGTACAAAGGTTAGAAGCCCTAAACATGAAGAAAAAAAAAAAAAAGAAGAAAAGGAAAAAAAAAGAAAAAGAAAGCAAACACAAAAGGTATTTCTATGAAGAAAATGTACATGATAGAAAACCACAAGATCAACCCAAAAAATTAATGTGTAGGGGCGCCTGGGTGGCGCAGTCGGTTAAGCGTCCGACTTCAGCCAGGTCACAATCTCGCAGTCCGTGAGTTCGAGCCCCGCGTCAGGCTCTGGGCTGATGGCTCAGAGCCTGGAGCCTGTTTCAGATTCTGTGTCTCCCTCTCTCTCTGCCCCTCCCCTGTTCATGCTGTGTCTCTCTCTGTCCCAAAAATAAATAAACGTTGAAAAAAATAAAAAATAAAAAATAAAAATAAATTTAAAAAAAAATTAATGTGTATATAATAAAAACACAGTATTATGTAAAAGTAAGTAAAAGATCAGGATATTTATATCACGCAAGAGATACACAGGGTGTTGGAAAAATTAAAACAATGGTATAAAATAATAAAAACACATAAAAATTCACACAATATAATAATTAATAAGCCATATGCAAAAATGTTCAATAATCCTGTTTATTTAAAGAAAAAACAAATTAAGACAAAGCAAAATTTTATTCCTATTAAAATCGTGAAGTCATACTACACAGTGCTGAAACAGCTGTGGTGAAACCACGGTACTTATACAGTCCTGGAGGGATGGCAACTGGGCACACCTCTTGTAGGCAAATTCAGCAGCACGTTTCCAAGAGCTGAAAACTGTTCTTACCTTGTGACATGAGGAAATAAAACGTTGGGACTAAGAAAAAAAGCCAAAAGAAGGGAAAGGCGATTTGTACCAAGATGTCCTGTGCTGTATTAATTATTCATGAAAAACTTAGTTACAATTAAATAAACTAGAGCACATTTCAGTGGAATATTTGAAGCTATTAAAAATAAGTATAAAAATCATAGCAACACTGAAAAAATGCTTGTTACGCTTAAAAAGCAAAATACACAATTTCATCAATGTTATCATTTCAAAATGCTCAAAATATCAATTTTTATGAACAAGATGTAGAGAAGATCCTTGAAAAGAGAAACATTTTTTGTTAGGATGTAAGGGCAATATATTTTTCTTGTAATTCCTCATTGCTTATGTTAGTGTATGTGAAACAAATAAATTTTAAACACATCAACATTAAGAAATAAATGTTGAAGTCACACATAAAACTCTATATACTGTCATTTCTGAGCATTATGCAGACTGCCGAAAACTGTTTTTCTGCATATATAACAGAATACTTAAGCTCACATCACAGACTGCATAAAGAATAAAAGTGAAGTTTATCATGCATTACCAAAACTTCCCCAATCCAGAATAATTTTATCTTATACTAATCATAGCCAATAGCAATACTGAGCATCAACATTTGAAGTACTCAAGTATTAAAGCAATATTTAATTTACTCATTCAGTCAACTTTGATAGTTTCTTGTCTGTCAACATACTTCTAAACAATTTATTACAAGTTATTAATAATACCATACTGAAGACTTGACCAAACAAACAAACCAACCAACCTCGGTTCTCACCGGAAGTCCTATGAGGTACATACTTTTATTTTTCTCATTAACAAATAAGAAAACAGAGCCAGAGAGGTAGTGGCAGAGCTGGAAACCTAACCCAGATTTCCTGATTCCAAAGCCAATATTGTGAAGTACTACTCTATTAGCATCAACTCTTAATAAGCTCTCATTCCCACAATTACAATCTTTTCCCTCAGAACACCTGGATGGCTCAGTTGGTTGTGTCTGACTCTTGATTTCAGCTCAGGTCATGATCCCAGGGTTGTGGGATCGAGCCCCACATCGGGCTCCCCTGCTTAAGATTCTCTCTCTCTTTCTCTCCCTCCCTCTCCCCCTCATCTCCTCCCTCCTCTCCCTAAAAAAATAAAAATATCTTTTCACTCAATAAATATTTACTGAGGTCCTAATATGAGTCATTAGCTATTTTAGGGGCTGGGGATACAGCAATAAAAATATTTTATGAGATCTGTCTTTATGGAGCTTACATCCTAAGACAGTGGTTTTCAGCTGGGGATGATTCTGCTCCCCAAGGGAAATATGACAATAGGTGGAGCCATTTTTAATTTGTCAAAAGGGCTGCTGAAGGTTGCTACTGGCATCTACAAAGTACAGGCCAGGGATGCTGCTAAACATCCTACTATGCACAGGAAAGCCACTCACAACAAAGAATTATCCAGTCCAAAATGTTGGTAGTTCCAACCTGTTCTAGAGGGAAGATAAAAAGAAATAAAACATAGAATATGGTATCTATACATACATCTTATATTTAGAACTATACATATCTTGAAAGCAGAAAAAACTATGCTTTCTTCTTCCTCATATCCTTCACAATACTCAACTTAATAACTTGCCCATAGCAGATGCTCAATAAATTAACCAAAGAGAAAGAAGGCAATCATTTTTCTATATTACTGCTGGTCATGGCATAGTACATGAAGTCTTCTTACATGATGCAAAGGATTCAAACTAAACTTTTTCTCACCTTTGAAATCACATTCAGAAAGCATCAAATACACTACATCGGGATCCAGATCAGAAAACATCTCTGAGATACTGGTGAAGAGTTCTTCCTGATCAACTTTTGTCTCACACATGGAAGGAAGAGTAGTGGTTGGCTCCTCATGACTAGCAACACTGGATACGACAACTTCCTTAGAGCTTGCGGTCTTCCGAAAAGGATTTCCCCCAAGATTTTTCCTTCTCCTTGGCATTCTGACTTCCAAAACTAAAATGTTTCCCTTTTCTTATTTAAGATGTTTGATATTTAAGTCATACCTCAAAGAAAACACGGTTAAATATCTTGCACAATCCAGCAGTAATAGGACCTAAAATAGAAAGTAAGTAAAGACACTCAGACTATACAGTTATATTTCCATTTCTAAAATCGGAATGGTATCTTTATTTGACTCTAAGAAAGTACCATCAACTCTGGCAGCAAAGCCAAAAAGCAGTCAAACAACTTTTCTCTCCAAAATATTCAAGTTTTGCCAGGATTGAACATGTTAAAAATTTAAGATATTAACAAATATAATGTATCTTCACAACAGCCAGTATACTGTTTTAATTAGCATTTTATTTCAAAAAACAAAAAACAATATTCATAATGACAATGTCTACTGAACATCTACATTTGGATGTCTAATAGGCATCATCAACTTAACATGTCCAAAACTGAGCTCCTGATCACCTACTTCACACCTGCTCTTCTCAGTCTTTCCCATCTTAATTAATGCAACTCTATCCTTCCAATTGCTTGGGTCAAAAATCTTGTATTCCTAACTCGTCTCATCCCACATCCAAACTATAAGCCAATTTTGTCAATACTACCCTCAAAATGCATCCAGAATATGACCTTTCCTCACTATCTCACTACTACCACAGCCTGTTGCCTAGATTACTTACAAAAGTCTCCAAACCAATCTCCTTGCTTCCATCCTTGCCCCTTCACAGTCTATTTATATTTAGCACAGCAATCAGAGTGACTCAGTTAAACCATAAGTCAGATCATACATCTCTTCTGCTTAACTATTTACTGGCTTCCCATCTCATTCAGGGTAAAAGCCAGAACTCTTAAAATAGCCTATAACCCAGACCCTGGTTACTTCAGTGCTGTCATCCCTAGACCTTGCTCAGTGCCACTCCAGCCACACTTCACCTCCTTGTTCTTCTTTAACCACACCAGCCATGCTTTTCCCGGGAACCTTTAGATTTGGTTCCCTCTACCTAAACTACTACTCTCTCAAGTATCTATCACATTTATTTCCTCACCACCTTCCTATCATTACTCAAATGTTACCTACTCAGGAAGTCAGTCCCAACAACACTTATCCTTTCCTAACTTGAATTTCCTCATAAGACTTAATCATCTTCTAACACAATACATATTTCATTTCGGGTTTTTTTGTTTTCTTTTTTTATATTTACTACCCATACTCAAGTAAAGTGTAAGCTCCACAAGGGCAGGGACTCATTGATCTGAAGAACCCCAGACAGTCTACTTGCTCTCTTCACCTGGATGTATCTAATAACCATTTCAAATTTAACATATGCAAAACTAATTGATATTTTCCCCCAAATCTGCTCTAACCATTTGGTCTAGCTACTTTCATCATTTACTCGTATTCTGGTGTCCTAAATGTTCTTTCTGCTTCCAACTTGTGTCTCCTACAGTCTATTTTCAACACACCAGCCAGAATGATGTTCATACAGCAACATAAAACATACATACATACATACATACAACACATAACAAGTCAGAATCAGGGCCTGCTCTAAATCTTCAAGTGGTTCACCATGCCACTCAGTAAAACCTAAGTTCTTACAGTGGCTCACCTCCCTGCTGGCCTTTGATACATTCTTCCCCAAAATATTTGCATTGGTAATCTCACTCCTCCAAACCTTTATTCAAGTGTCAGTTAATGATTTCTTCTTTGATTACCCAATTTAAAATCATCTCCTCCAATCCCTCTGCCCCAATCAATCTCCCTTCCCTGACTTCCCATTGCCCATAATACCCATACTATAAAATTTACCTTTTAATTAAACTTATTGTGTCATAGTTCTCTCCATCTTCCAGAACGGCACTGTCAATATGGCAGCCACCAGCCACATGTGCCTATTTAAATTTAAATTAATTAAAATTAAATAAAATTACACCTTTATATATTAATAGCACATAAAGTAGAATTCAGAGGGGGAAAAAATTACCAGGGACAGAGAAGGGCCTTATATAATCATAAAGGATCAGACCACCAAGGCAACCCTAAATGTATATGCACCAAACAACAGAGTCACTAAATAAGTGAAACAGAAACGGACAATTGAAATGAGACATGGACAAATCCACAATTACAGAAACTTCAAAAGCCCTCTCTCAACAATTGGTAGAATAACTAGACAGAAGATCATCTAGGATACAGAACACCAAGGATACAGAACACAATTAACACTATCAATTAAGGATAATCAACATTTATAGAACACTCCATCCAACAGCAGAATACATTATTTTCAAGTGCCGACTGAATATGTACCAAGATAGATCATAGCCTAGATTTTAAAACAAACCCCAACAAATTTAAAAGAACTGAAATCACACAACGGAATCAAGCTAGAAATCAATTAACAGAAAGATAACCAATACATCTCCAAACACTTGGAACCTAAGCAATATGCTAAATAATCCATGGGCCACAGAGAAAGTCTCAAGAAAACTTTTTAAATACACTGAAATGAATGAAAATGAAAATATACCATATCAAAATTTGTAGGACACAGCTATAGCAGCAATGGTGGACATTTATAGCAAATTTACAACCAAATACAACATTACAAAAGAGGAAAAGTCTCAAATCGATCAATAACCTAAGCCCCCATCACAATTACCTAGAAAAAGAGCAAAACAAACCCAAACCCAAACCCAGCAGAAGGAAAGGAATAATAAAAATAAGAGCAAAAATTAATGAAACTGAAAACAGAAAAGCAAAAGAGAAAAATAAGTGAAACAAACTGATAGTTTTTTTAAATTTATTTACTTATTTTAAGAGTGCACACACACACACACACACACAGTCACACAGGGGGAGGGGCAGAGAGAGAGAGAGAAAGAGGAAGAGAGAGGAAGAGAGAGAGAGAGAGAGAGAGAGAGAGAGAGAGAGAGAGAGAATCTTAAGCCGGTTCTACACTGTCAGCGCAGAACCTGAAATGGGGGCTCAAACTCACAAACCATGAGATCATGACCTGAGTCAAAACCAAGAATCAGACATTTAACAACTGAGCCACCCAGGTACCCCACAAATTGATAGTTCTTTAAAAAGATCTTTAAAAAATGACAAATCTCTAGCATGAGTAACAAAGAAGAAAAGAGAGAAGACACAAATTACCAATGTCAGGAATGTAAAAAGGGTATCACTACAGAACCCTGTATGCTGAAAGCTTTATATAAAACACTGATGAAAGAAATCAAAGATCTAAATAAACAGAAAGACATAGCATGTTCATGGACTAGAAGACTGAACATAGTAAAGATGTCAATTCTCCCCAAATTGAGATACAGAATTCCTACCAAAACCCCAGCAAGATTTTTTGTGGATAAGGACAAGATTATTCTACAATTAAATGGGAAAGACAAAGGAACTAGAATAGCTAAAACAATTCTGAAAGAGAAGAATCAATCAACTGAACTTCAAGATTTGTTTTATCACTACACTAATCAAGCCTGTATGGTATCAGTGGAGGGACAGACATGTAGATATGAAAACAGAATATAGAGCTGGAAACAGAAGAGAGAACCCAGAAATACACCAACATAAATATGCCCAACTAACTTTTGACAAAAGTACAAATGACAATTTAATGGAGAAAAGACAGTCTGTTCCAACAAATGAAACTGCAGCCAGTGGACATCCACAGATTAAAAAAAATAAACTTTGACCTAAGTCTCACACTTCACAGAAAAATTAACTCAAAATGGATCAAGAACTGAAATCCATAAAACTATAAACATTTTAGAAAAAAAAAAAAAAAAAAAAAAAAAAAAACAGGATAAAATCTCCATGACCTAGAGCTAAACAGAAACACCAAAAGCATGACCCATAGGAAAAACTGGTAAACTGTACTTCATCAAAATTAAAAAGTTTTGCTCCATGAAAGACCGTGTTAAGAAGATGAAAAGACAAGCTACAGATTGGAGAAAATATTTGCATACCATGTATCCAACAAAAGATTAACATCTGAAATATATAAAGAACTTATCAAACTCCACAGTAAAAAACAATTCAACTAGAAAATGGGCAAAACGCGTTAACACCAAAAGGATGTACAAATGGCAAATAGGCACATAAAAGATGTTCAACACCTTGAGGCATTAGGTAAATACAAATTAAAACTACAAACAATGAGATATTACTTACACATCTATCAAACTGGCTAACATAAAAACTAATGGCAACACCACATGCTGGCAAGGATACAGAGAAACTGGATGGCCCATACGCTCTGATGGGAATGTAAAATAGTACAGCCACAGTGGAAAACGGTTTGGTAGTTTCTTTAAAAACTAAACATGTGGGGCACCTGGGTGGCTCAGTTAGTCATGCCACCAACTCTTGATTTCGGTTTAGGTCATGATCTCTCAGTTTGTGAGATAGAGCCCCATGTTGGGCTCCGCACTGACAGCACGGAGCCTGCTTGGGATTCTCTCTCTCCTCCTCCCTGTTCTTCCCCTGCTTGTGCATGTATGTGTGCACAACACCATACAACAATTCAGCAATTGCATTCCTGGGCATTTATCTAAGAGAAATGAAAAATTATGTTCACCCAAAATCCTGTACACAATGTTTATAGCAGCTTTGTTCATTAAACCAAAAACTAGAAAACAGTTCAGATGTCCTTCATCTGAAGGTACTTCCATTCCATGAAATACTAGTCAGCAATAAAAAGGAACATACTAATGATATACAAAACAACCTAGATGAAATTCCAGACAGTTGTGCTGAGTGGAAAAAAAGCCAATCCCCAAAGGCTATATACTGAATAATCTCATTAATGTAACATTTTTGAAATGACAAAATTACAGAAATAGATTAATGATTGCCAAAGGTTAAGGAAAGGATGGGAGGAAGGGGCAAGTGGGTGTGGCTATAAATGGGTAAATTGAGAGATTCTTATAGTGATGGAAATATTCTGTACTAATGACAATATCCCGGTTGTGATACCATAGTAAAGTTGTGCAAAGATGTTTCATTGGGGGAACTGGGTAAAAGCACAGGAAACTTCTCTATATTATTTATTAGAACTTCATGTGAATCTACAATCTCAAAATAAAAAGTTTAATTTTGAAAAAAATCATGTTAAATTAAAAATTAATTTCCTCATATGAGTCACATTTCAAATGTCCAATTACTACATGTGGTTAATGACTATCATACTGGACAGCAGAAATAGTAAACTTTCCTATCAGTGTAGAAAGTTCTATTGGACAACACTGTTCAGGAATATAAGTTTCATGGAGCAAGTGAATATCCCATCTTATGAAGATAAGAAACTTTATAAGCAAAAAAGTACAAAGAGGAAGTCTTAAAAGAAAAAAGTACTAACACATCTAGCCACATTAAATGTAAAATACCTATGTATCAAAAACAAAATTAAGGAAAAACATGTATAACATACAGCAATGGTTTCCCATTTCTCTTCTTCCATTCTTTCATAAACAGGATTTTGCTGCCACCATTTCTACAACTACACTAAAATTGCTCTTATCTACCAACAATGCACAAGGGTTCCTTTTTCTCCACATCCTCGCCAACACTTGTTTCTTCTTGCATTTTTAATTTTAGCCATTCTAACAGGTGTAACGTGGTATCTTGGGGCCCCTCGGTGGCTCAGTCAGTTAAGCATCCAACTTCGGCTCAGGTCATGATCTCATTGTTCGTGAGTTCAAGCCCCGCATCAGGCTTTCTGCTGTCAGCCAGAGCCTGCTTCCAATCCTGTCTCCCTCTCTCTCTGTCACTCTCCCACTCCCATGTGTACTTTCTCTCTCAAAAATAAACATGTTAAGAAAAAAACAAGTGGTATCTCATTATTGTTTTAATTTGCATTTCCCCAATGATTAGTGATGTTGAGCATCTTTTCATTTGTCTGTTGCCCATCTGTATGTCTTCTTTAGAAAAATGTCTATTCAGGTCCTCTGCCCATTTTTTTTTCAAATGTTTATTTTTGAGAGAAAGAAAGAAATAGAGCACGAGCAGGGAAGGGACACAGAGAGGGAAACAGAATCCAAAACAGACTCCAGGCTTTGAGCTTTCAGCACAAAGCCTGACACAGGGCTTAAACCCACACAACATGAAATCATGACCTGAGCTGAAGTCAACCGCTTAACTGACTGAGCCACCCAGGCAGCCCCTCTGCCCATTTTTAATCAGATTATTTGGGGTTTTTGGTATTGAGCTGTATGGAAGGTCCTCAAAAAATTAAAGATATAATTTCCATATGATCCAGTAATTCCACTATTGGGTACTATCCCAAAGAAAATGAGAATACTAATTCAAAAAGATTAGCATTATTTTCAACAGCCAAGATATGGAAGCAACTCAAGTGTCCACTGATAGATGATTAGATAAAAGGATGTGGTATGTGTACATACACATACACAGTGGAATATTATTCAGCCATAAAAATGAATGAAATTTTGCTACTTGCAACAACATGGATGAGCCCAGAAGGTATAATGCTAAGTAAAACAAGCCAATTAGAGAAAGACAAATATCATATTATTTCACACATATGTGGAACAAACAAAACGAATGAAGAAAGAAAAAAAAGCCCAAAAAAAAGCCAGACTCTTATATACACAGAACAAACTGGTGGTTGCCAGAGGGAAGGTGAGTAGGGGGATGGGTGAAATAAAGAGGATTAAGAGTATACTTATCTTAATGAGCACTGAGAAATACACAGAATTGTTAAATCATTATATTATATACCTGAAACTAATATAACATCACATGTTAATTATACTTGGAAAAAAATACAAAAATTTTAAAAAGGGAAAAAAAGAGTTTTAGAAATCTAAGCAACCAAAAGGTTCTGGTACATTCTCCCATATTCATTTCAACTACA